CTCTTACGACAAGTATCATGAGTTCAAACTGGATATTGACCAAGTTCTCAAGGAGAATGAACACCTTGGCGCAGAAAATTTCTTTGGAGCAGAGGATCCTGATTTGGTGGACGATGATCCAGACACTCCTCTTCCAGATCTTCAAAGACCAGGCGCGGGTGATCCTGAGTACAAGCATACTATTGAAAGTTTGAACATTGAGGACAAGCATATCATTTTGGAAACTGATGATGACAAATTGGTTGAGTGTACATTGAAATGGATCAGTATGTGCAATCAGAATGTTCAACAAAAGATCAAGGACAGTTTTGTCAAACCAGAAGAACGACAAGAGAAAGAAGAGGATGAAAATGAGGAGATTGCTGTCGAAGAAGAAGAAGAAGAAAAAGACACACAGGAGCCACATGTCCCAGCTGAAGGCTCTTCAGAGAAAGAGGAATCAGCTCCACCTGAACGCTCCTCAGAAAAGGAGGAATCAGGGGAAAAGAAAACAGACATTCAAGATGATGAGACAGCTCCTGAAGTGAAACCTGCAATTCGACTTTACTATGGTCAAGATATCACTGGAAACGAAGATGATTCAGTTTTTCGAAAATTGAAGGATTGTTTTTCAGATGGTTACCATGGTGAATGGGCAGGATTTTACAACAAAGGTTATCCAGCGTCTTCGAAGCATCGACACATGTTTTGGCATGTCAAGTACAGGAAGACTATGTCTCCACATCAAGATTATTGGTACCATCTTACAGATGACCAGTTGATGATTGAGTACATTGCCAGACACAAGGATCAAAATCCACAACTAGAACTACAGGAACTCAATAATCACATTGAATATGGTTGTAGTGATCCAAGGATGCATCCTCTTCATCAAGACAAGGCAGAAAGATCCTCAAAAGAAGCAGAAAAGAGGATTGATGATGATTTTGGAAATCTCACAAGGGTACTCCAAGATTACGTTGAGGACCACAAGGTCTTGCCTTACTGTATGATCTTGCATAGCTTGGCTTACAGGTATTTAGGTGGAGGCCTATCAGACCCAACATACAAGGATGCCGAATTTCCATACAGATCCTCTCCACAGATAACAGCAATGTTTTGGAATTTGGGAAACTGGTGCAGAAACAGATTTGAAAAATGCCCGGTTCCAGAAAGATTTCAACAATTCATTCCACACATTGACTACACTATCGATGAGGATCATGAAAAATTTGATGAAACCCAATCACAGTTCAACAATTACTTCATCAATGTCATCAAGAACTTTGGAGGACATCTTTTCATGAATTGCGAGGCTGGTTCGTTGTATCCTCACAGAGAAAGACTCGACGAGGTTGACTTTAAAACTTGCTTCAATGACTATCATGACTTGATGGTGGCAGCTCGCCTTGGAAAGGATGGCTATATCAAGCAAATTGCTGGATATCACACAGATGACAACGACACACGAGTTCGACAAGTCTCATGGGCAATCTTTGAAGTATCTTGGGGAAAGACAAAGGATCGAGATACAGATGAGATTGTTGACTTGACAAGAGCTAGGATGAGGATGACACGTGTGTGCGTTTATCACGTCGGACAGAAGTATGCATCAGACTCTGCTGGGATTGTTGGTGAGTGCTTAGCTGTTATGGCTTTTGAGTGTGCCAGATATCAAGTTGACTTCATCGCAGGTGATGGAAACAAGGCATGCTATTACAGCACACCAAAATCTCCAGGTGTCCCTACATACAACACAGCCTTATCCAATTCTGGATCAACAGAATGGTAGGTGTTGCAACACAAGCCATGCGCAAGTATTTTGATTCATCTTGCCCTCCAATCAGGGTCAAGCATTTCATTTCTTGCAGTTATCGTGACTTGGATTTTCTTGCAACGCACTTGGATGGCATTACAACAGCAACATACACCGACGAGCTCATGAACAAGACAAATGGTAAAGGTGATTGTTGTATGTTAACAGTTGTTGAGTGGGGTCATTCACGTTTGATGTGTGAGGAACGCCCAGAAGACTTTGATGGAGATGAAGATCGCATGAACTATGTGGGTGAATTTTACTTCAAGGTAAATGAAACTTGCTTACATGGTGATCACAACATCTTCATGGTTGCCCCAAATGATCGTGATGCTCATAATCCAATTCTTGTTCATCTGGATCCTTCTGATATGTCATGGAATGAACGACATCATTACAAACAGGCTTTCAAGAAGAAGCAGTATGCAGATACAAGAAAGGAAAGACAGAAGGAGAAAAAGAGAAAGGCATATGAAGATCAAGCATCAACGTATCAGGGCAACGTTAGTTGGGGTGGATCCTCATCTTCAGCGTCCAGACCATGGAGATCAAGTGAGTGGCGATGAATGAGTGTATACTTCTTTAAATGAAGATAACACGGCATGAGAGGCCGTGTACAGTTTTTCTGTGCGTTCAATTTATTTCACACAGATGGCATATACTCTTTTAGATAGAGATAATGCCACAAGTGTCTGAACTTCAATTTAATGTAAAATAGATACTCTTGTAAATAGAGAGACTATAAACATTTATCTCCATGACCTTTCTGCGAGCAGACCACTCCGAATGGAGCGAACTCCAAAAATTTACCAACTTCGATTTCAGTCCATTGTTTGCTTGAATGAGCAACTTTGGAGATCCGCTATTTCCGTTTATTTCGTGATTTGGTCAATTGTTTTTCGTATGACCGGAATTTCTGAATCTTGCAAACCCGAACTTTTCAATTCGAACCTTCACCGGTAGAGCAAGGCATTTTGCCTATGGAGAGACCGTGCGCGAAGCACCATTGGTCGCTACTGGAAAAATTAGCGAATCCGCTGTTCTTTTTCGACATGTCCTTAGGACATTCGCTGCTTTCACGTGTTTTTCACTTCGAAGCCACTGCGTAACTCCGGTTTCTTTTGCTATTTGCCATTGTGTAGAGAAGTCAGGAAGATACTCTTAATACCAATTGGGTACGGCAAGGCGTAGTGCTCTACTCATTGCTTTTGAATTTGTGCCTGTGTTTTTGTTTCGACCTAATACCTACATAGGTACATGCATGAGTATTGAGCACATTTATATGCGCCCTTCAAGGCTCAAGAGGTATATAGAGTAACCCTGTAGACAAGCACGGACCGGCAACAGGCTGAGTAAAACAAGTGCTGTCATTGGGGAAGACGCCTTAGCTGATCTTGAAGTAGACGCTAGGGCCCCTCTTCAGCCCTCCCCCCAATCCCCCCCTCCCGCTTTTTTTTTATATTTAAACTTAAACCCAAGTTACATTAGTTGGTTTTTGCGAACTAACCTTCTCTGGAAAGCTGACAGGATTACATGTGATAGATAGATAGATAGATAGCTAGCTAGATAGCTGGATAGATAGATAGTTTGGTAGATAGATAGCTAGAGCTAGATAGATAGATAGCTAGAGAGATAGATAGCTAGATACCTCGATAGATAGATGGCTAGATAGAAAGCTAGATAGATAGATGGCTAGATAGATAGCTAGATAGATAGATAGCTAGATAGAATTAGATAGATAAAGAGGTAGCTAGATAGATAGCTAGATAGATAGATAGACAGATAGCTAAATAGATAGGTAGATAGTTAGCTAGATAGATAGATAGCTAGATAGATATCTCGATAGCTAGATAGCTGGATAGACAGCTGGATGGCTAGATAGATAGATAGCTAGATAGACAGAAAGCTAGATAGCTAGATAGCTAGATAGATAGTTAGCTAGATAGCTCGATAGCTAGATAGCTGGATAGACAGCTGGATGGCTAGATAGATAGATAGCTAGATAGATAGAAAGCTAGATAGCTAGATAGCTAGATAGATAGTTAGCTAGATAGCTAGATAGGTAGATAGATAGCTAGCAAGATAGCTAGCTAGATAGGTAGATAGATAGCTAGATAGATAGATAGCTTGCTAGATAGATAGATAGCTTGCTAGATAGATAGCTAGCTTGCTAGATAGATAGCTAGCTAGATAGCTAGCTAGCTGGATAGATAGCTAGCGCCCTCCCTCAATCCCCCCCACCCGCTTTTTATCTAATCCCAAGCTTCCGCATCTGTAAATATTTGGGTGAACATGCTCACATGTAGAACATCCCATGCAAAATGGAAGGTGAACATGCCAAAATGTGGCAAATACGATACAAAATGGAAGGTGAACATGCCCACATGTAGGAAATCCCATGCAAAATGGAAGGTGAACATGCCAAAATGTGGCAAATACCATACAAAATGGAAGGTGAACATGCCCACATGTAGTAAATCCCATGCAAAATGAAAGGTGAACATGCCCAAATGTGGCAAATACCATGCAAAATGACAAATTCAAGTTCCAAACCGTTGCAAACACTAGGCAAATGGTACCAGCCAAGAAATCCAAAAAAAAATCCCAAACCTGCTCAAAAAAAAAATCCTAAAACTATTTCACACCCGGGATCAATGTCGAAGGTTCCTAGAAGTGGATCAAGGGAAGCCACTATCTGGTTGGTGGTGACTGGAACATTTTTTTTATTTTTCCATATATTGGAATAATAATCCCAACTGACTTTCATATTTTTCAGAGGGGTTCAAACCACCAACCAGTTATATTTGCGGGAAAATCCATGGTTTCCTGTAAACAATGGTTTCAATTTTTGTGATTCTCCAATTTTTTGGGATATTTTGGGATGCATATTCCAAGATGGGGATTCCAGGATCACACTTTCAGAAAGCACAAGGCGATTGTGATTTGAGATGTTGGCCAACTGATCCAATGGGTGAATCCACTGCGGAATCTCCACTGGAAATATTTTGACTTCGGCCATTATTCCAACCCATAGGATCCATGTATGGTATATATATATATGCTAACATTGGGGGTATATTGATGGTAAATGTTACCATATATAGCATACATGGATCCTATGGGCAATGGCTTTTCCAATGGCTTAATCCACTGAGTTGACAGATTTGTATCCAAAGAACTCCAATGGCCATCTTTCTGCTCCAAGGAACTCTGTTCCTCCAAAGACTTCTCCCTGAGTTTGTTGACGCCCGTGCTGGACCTTGTTTGGGACGTGGAGATCCCCATTCATACGGCCGTGGAAGGACCAAGTGACCAAGTTTCACCCGGTGATCTTCACCAAATCTGAGTAACATCCTGCTGTTGTTTTTTGAGGATTCAAAGAGGATGGGGATAAAAATCAACAAGATGATAAGATTGATAAGATTGATATCATTAAGATTGATAAGATTGGCACACCTCACCTGCAACCCAGTTGGGTTGCCATAAGTGGCCGAAGCCCGTGAGGATGTCTGCGGGTATCCTTGCCAGAAGATTCTCCAGAGCTGGAGAAGATCCGGGGCAGCATGGAGGAACAGAAGAAGGCCTCGGAATTTCTCCAAGAAGAGTGGCAAAAAAAACGTGACAAAAAACACCAGCTAGCAGATTATCGATCATTTTTTTTGGGCTGGCCACATTTTGAAGGAACATTTAGTTTGTTGATCAAGATATATCAAGATTAGTCTAAGTTTCTGATTCCGGTGCGCCACGGTCGAAGGCGTTGATCCAGAGGAAGAAGGAAGTCTCTTGCCGCACGGAGTTGCGAGTTTGTACTGTTTGCTCCAGTAAAACCAAATCCGACTCTGGGCCAACGTGATCAGTCAAGGTGCTCATGGTTTCCCAGCAACTGTGATGTGAACGCGAGGGATGAATTTGGTAAGTCCATGAAATGCCAACAATGGATTCATAAACCCTGACTATGAATTGGTGACTATAAGTTCTCCCCAAAATAGAGATGTTTTTTTTCAGTTATTAATTACTAAAATTGGATAATTCATTGGTACCCCCAATCCACAAAAACCTGGTGAGTCAGCTATGAGTCCCATTCGTTGAAATCTCCGTCAGTTGCAAGGTGGGTGGTTGTCCAACCTTCCGGACCGCCAGTGATCGCTTGGAACGGGCAAAAGACTTTGAGGGGAGTGGCCTGACAGGAGCCTTCTCGAGGCTGGAAATCCATAAAAATTGCCGTTTTCTGTTTTAAAAAAAGGGTCTACCCCTATGGATCCAAGTACCTTCTTAGGAAGTGTTTGGGGTATAATTTACTATAATTCGGAGGATTAAGTACCTTCTCAGACAGTGTTTGGATCCAAAAGGTACTTTCATGGTGGGTTTTCATGGGTTTTCCAGATGTGGAGTTGGAGGGTTTTCCCACGGAATTTTGTAGGACTTTTGTTTTGCCTTGACCTTTCACCTTGGACGAAGGGTTCTCCGGGTCGCTATTTTTGTGCAGGCAATACCTGAAGCTCCTACAGAAGGAGACCTGCAGCACCGACTTGGCCAAGTTTCCCTGACTTTCGCGATAGCCATCAACAAATGATCTAAAACCCCTTTCCACTCTTGGTTTCATCAGTTTCATCGTGGAAATATCCTGAAAGTTTTATGAAAATCATAAATGTCCCCCCCAAAAATCTGGTGTTTCTTCCATTTTTCCCATGGAAACAGATCCCAGCTTTCGCCATGGCTTTCCCATGGTTTTTTTGGGACAGCCATCGGCTCCCCAGGAGCTGTCGGAGAGGGCCAAGGTGTGGTCCCATGCCCCTCCCGGCGCCAACCTGGAGACCTTGATGGACTCAGCCATCCACGTCGCCTCACTGGCCACGTTTCTGCTCCTTGGAGATCTTCATGGTTCCATCTGGATCGGATATCTTCTGGTTGGTGCTGGCTGGAACATGGCTGGAATTTTATGAATATGTTATATTATTTTTTGACTATCTTGATGGGAATTAGGATGAACTTATTGGTGTATATAGATGTATATATTGTTTAACCATCATTAAGCATCATTAACTATCATTAACCATCATTAACCATTACTGGTTGGTGGTTTGGAACATGGCTGTCTGATGACTTTCCCATCATATTGGGAATGTCATCATCCCAACTGACGAACTCATATTTTTAGAGGGGTTGAAACCACCAGCCAGATATGTATATATATATATTATTATACATTTATTGATACTAAGAAAAAATATGTATAATATCTATTTCAATATCTATTCAATAGACCTTTTCTAGATGGTTCGGTTTAAGACCATTGGTTTAGACTTGGATTTTACTTTTCTCTCTTCTGGGGGGGTCACTGTAAGTACCAGCTAGTTTTTGTTGGGGGGCACCTTCACTACCAGATACTGTAAATTTTGGTAAGAACCAGGGTATCAGGGTGAGATGACGATACCCACAGCTATTTTCAGGATTTCTGGCCGCGGGGGTTTCAGATTTTCCTGGTTTCCTGTCTCGTCTTTGGACCCTCGGTTCTTTTGGACAGTGAGATTGCATGCAAAAGCGCTTATCGGATTGCTACAGATTCGCGCGTTCTTTGAATCAGGCCCTATTTCGCAAATCGCACCACAGCATTTCGAATGTGCGCTGCTCTGAACTGTGGCGAGCCTGTGCCATTCGTCGACGGACCCATGCGATTTCATTACAAGGTGCGGATGGCATGGCCATCCATACATTGCCAGCGCCGGGTACTTGTATGGGCCGTATGGGTTTAAATTGTGTCCCTCCAACTCCCTTTGCAATTGGTTGATGTGTAGTAATCATACCTTCACCACAGTTTCTCAGATTTGAATCCATACCCCTTTAGGATTCTTTTGGAATAGCAGTGTTTCAAACGCCATGGTTTCCGGTTGATTCCCAGTGGCAGGAGGTGGCAAATGTACAGGCTGACCCCAAACAGAAGCGAGTATGGTCCTTGATCACAACAGCTCCAGCAGAAGAGTGCCATGCCCGGACCTTGCCACTGCTCCCTGGCCCTCATTGAGGTGGGGGGATGACTTAAATCCCCCCATTCATACTATTTTATGGTTGGGGTTGGTTTATTCAATGGCCAATTCAGGTACCTAAATTGAATCTACCTACCAGCTACAGTATATATATATATTATAAATATATATATATATATTGTATATGGGCCATGTAACGAGATATGCCCCCAAAATATGACTTTCCTGTTTATGGTACAGTACCTCTATTTTAGGATCCCCATGGATTTATTGTTGTGTTTACCACATTATAGCAAGTACATGCAAGTACAACATGGGTATGGGTCAATACCTATAGATACATTTTTAGTGGGATGAACATCCATTTACCAGCTATTTTGATGTTCACCAGGGGTACAAGGTTTTGACCCATCCCCACATGATGATCTTTCGATATAGGTTCGTGGTTTGCCGCTTCCAATATCTTCCAATTATCCAACGTCCGCTTTGGTTGAAGCAACAGCCCCTTGCGTGCTTTTTTCGGTCCAGTTCAAATGCGTGACTTGATTTCCTCGGAAAACTACTACTACATAGGTTTGATCAGAAATGGGCCATACCCCAGAAAGGTTGAATAATATTTGACAGATCTTAGCTCAGAAAAACATACATCATTGGATGTTGGGGGCGCCTCTTTTTCAACGAATCTACCACTGCTACCACTTTGAGGTTTTTCAGCAGTGGAACTCCAGAACACACGCAGTGGCGCATGCTTCTGGATGCAGCTGGCTTTGCTGATATGCACACCAAGGAGAAACCGACATGACTTTAGATGGTGGTTTTTCAAAAAAATGGAACCCCCCCAAAGCACCCATGTTCTCGGAGAAAGACCCAAATAGTAGTTGCGATTATCCTGCAACTTGGTAATTTCAAGTTCATCAAGTAGTTTCCAGCATCAGCAACTCTTGTTTCCACCTGGACAGCTTCAGCTGCTTCAGGAGTTGACGTCCGCTTCATCCTTGCTGGATGCTGCGTGGTTGGAAAAGGTCCGTCGCGCCATTGGTCTGAAATCCATGCTGCCTCCGCCCACAGAGATGGAAGTCGCACGTATCGTTATCCCTTTGGTCTTCGAGGTGAGTTTTGACCGAAAAGATGTGTGAAATACGAGGGGATGGACAACCCTTATAAGGTTAGTTATGGTCATGAAAGAATTGATGATGGCCCAAGTAATGTTGGGGTAGCCTATCTTCACACAAATCATTTAGGTATATCATGATCGAAAGTTGTGTTCTATACACACATATACGGGATAGTCATCCCCCATTTTCATATATTTTCATAAGGGTTAATGCACCAAATAATTGAATTAATTGGAGATTCCATGTCATGACGGTGGGATGACCCCCCATATACCATCTCTTGACTATGGCACAAAAAATGTCAATGAAAACACGAATTAGTGCACCGTTACCAAGAGACCAAGAGAATGGCAACGTTCCTGAGCGTCCATCGCTAGATCCAGGGCATTTGGGGAAAGAAGATGCAATCCTCTGATGTCTACAAGATTCTGCCTTACGTGGAGTTCGGCAAGATGTCCGATACCCAGACGCAACGGTTCACAACGCGGTTCATGCAATTTGGTCACCAAACTTTGGCATTTGGGAATGTTTATGCCATTATACACAATGTACATCTATATATATATATATACATCTTTATAATTTATATAGTGTACATCTTAGAGATCTTTTTATTATACATCGTCGTTGTATACATGTTGTATTTGGCCATGTTCAATTTCCCTTCTGCCTAGTGGATCCTAGTGGCAGGTGCATTTTGGGCAAGCGCGGGAAGAGCATAGGTGTGGTACAACCAATCGCTGTTGGCGCCAGCAAATCTGCAGCTATTGCCTTTGCCAGAGACTCCCCGACTGCTGAAAAGTAGCTTGATTGCAAGTGGCTACCATTCAGACATTGGACAATATTGGACATGTTATGACATGTTATTTCTGAGCAAGGGGTTTAATATGATATCTATTTGTATATAATATAAATAATATAGTATAATCACCCAACAGATAGAAGAATGCGTGCTGCATGCTATAAATGCTATGTACCTCATATTTCCAGGGGTTCCAACTTTTCTGTCTCTTTTGGGATTGTTATATTTAAATATATTTAAAAGAAACGCCTGAAAGCATGTTGGTTGATAGACCATTCACCTGGCATCTCAGGCTGGCCAAGTTGATCCAAGAACCCAGATTTTCGGTGCTGAAAACGCTCTTGGAGACCACCGAACAGACAGGTGAGTCACTGCAAGACAAGTTGCTTCGCAACATTATTGACGCTTCGACACTTGGCGCTTTCTTGGAAAAGTTGCCTTTTTTGGGACGTTTTATTTGTGCATCACAGACTGGTTGGTGGATTGAATGATTTAAAGTTTCATTTGTACAATTAGATCTCATTGATGTAACGACACTTTTTCATCCCTGTGATTGGATAATTGGAGCTCCAACTTATTGACATGTCCAGGTTCCCGGGTTCATCAGCTATGTTTTCTTGCGGTTGTTGGGATGCTGAGGCTTTTTGCAGGGGTTCTTGGAACTACGGACATGACTACCAAGTGTGTGCAGTCCCAATTCAAGGCCTGAGATATCCTGAGATGCTGAGATGCTTAGTCTGTGATGAATTGAGTGGTTGAAAGAATGGCACGAATGTACAGTAGATTTAGACTGAATTAGATTGATATATTTTTATTTTTATTTTTTTATATATGGCATGTGGGCTCTGCTACATGTAGATGGAGCCCCATTCCTGGTGTGTGCAGGATGGAAATCATGTGATGATGTTCCGCAAGAATGCTGGTTCCTACTTGCATGAGTTGATGAGACTGGATGCCGCAGTTCAGCAGTTCACCACTGCATTGGATAAAGAAGAGACCATGGTGTTGGAGGGTCACAAGGCGCTGTGGATCATCCTGAATCTGGTAAAAAACATTTCCGATTTCTTGGTTGGAACACAAACACGCGCCATTTCATTCCTATCTTTGGGAATCATTGCAATGAATATTGCTCATGTCTGATTTAGCCACTTTGCAGAGTGGACTTTTGCTGATCATTCTTCGCTTGGTGCTTGAACAGCATCAATGTGGCAGTTAGTGATACAACTCCTCGTAGAGTCACCCTCAAAAAGATGGAAAAGTAATGTCATCACCATTGTGTGTTGGATTTCACTCGTCTATCCTTTTTGTGTGTTGCATGACATATCAAATGTCATCATTTTCTCCCAGGTGGCCTTCTCTAAGGGGCAACCTGTGAATATGGTCATGGCCACAGCCAACCGACTCTGGGACTGAGCAGTGGACTGGGCAGGGGACTTAGCTTGATATGGCTTTGTCCAAAAATGGTGTATCAGGTGTATCTTATATAAATCATCATTTTTCTCGAATGTTTTAAGGCCATTTGGAGGGTATAGCCAATTTTCAGACACGCCCAATCATGTCTTTGGAATTGGCAAGTTGTTGTATTGCCGTGTCTCACGGTTACGGGTAGATGGGCATACCATACATGGCCATAGAATAGTCTATGCATTCCAATGCACAGACTGAAAATACATGATAAGTACCTACATGTGAAATATGTGAAGGGTGTATATTAAGACCTTGAATCGACGAGAGATTGCGCAGGGGGTGTTCAATCCGTCGTTGAGCAGCAATGTATCAACTCCTTTTGCAGAAAAAATATGATGCAACCCTTGTGCCCTTTGGATCCCTTTGGTTCAACCACAAACGCATTGAGTTGTTTTAGTGCTCGTTTTTTGTGTTAGTCATCTCACTGTTTCGCCATGCCACTCGCCATGTTAGTTTCGCACATCGTCAGGAGATCGCAGCGTCTTCCCAGATCCAGATGTTTTTGATCCTGATCGGGAGAACCTGGACATGATGTTGACCTGGAATGGACAGTTGAAGTACCTGGGAATCGGCAGAGTTGACGGAATCGGCTGGGCTGTGGCTGATTCTTGGGACCATGTCACTAGCAGATGAATATATATCCCAAATAGCCGCCAATAGAATATAATATATATATATGGGAGCCGTCCAAAAACCCCAGAAAGGTTTTTAGTAAAGGACCTATTCTCGCATTTTTCCCATGGTCTAAAACCTGCATCGCGCAAGTTTCGCGCAAGGGCGGCCCAAGGTACGCGCAAGTACTATTGTTATCATTATTACAAGTACTATTTTTAGTTAACATTTTGATTACTACTACTACTACTACGACGACGACTACTACTACTACTACTACCACTACTACCACTACTACCACTACTACCACTACTACTACTACTACTACTACTACATTACCACTACTATTACTACTACTACAACAACAACAACAACTACTACTACTACTACTACTACCGTATCTGATTTAGATCTTAAATATTAATATCTCGAGTTGATAAACATAGATAACCAGGGTGGTAAATAGGCCATCCAAAGAAAAAGGAGCAGATAGATAGATAGATAGATGAATAGATAGATAGATAGATAGAGATAAAGCAGCCAACGCGGTCCGGAAGACATGCAGCAGCAGTCCGGAGATGGTGAGCAGGAAGGTGTTTCAGAGTGGTTTCAGACCTCTTTTGGGCTTGTTTTTTGGGTACCCCCAGCTTTGGGAGATGAAAAAGAAAGAGAAAAGGTAGAGAAAGAGAAAGAGAGAGAAAGAGAGACAGAGAGAGGAAGAGGAGAGAGAGGAGGATGGAAGATGGAGACAAACAGAAGGCGAGAGAGAGAGAGAGACAGAGAGAGGAAGAGGGAGAGGAGAGAGAGAGAGCGTTGTAAATGGTGAGCAGCGGGGTGTTTCAGAGTGGTTTCAGACCCTTTTTGTCCGTAGGCTACCTCAGCTTTGGAGAAAAAACAGGAAAAAACGGGAAAAGAAAGAAGAGAAGGGAGAAAGAGACAGAGAGAAAGAAGAAGTCTTGAGACGGTGAGCAGGAAGATGTGTCGAACTGGTTTCAGACGTCTTTTGGGGCCGGTTATGGGGCTACCTAGTTCTTAAGACATCCAAAAGAAGGGACTCAAAACAGATTGTACTTGAAACACATGCGGTCCGGAAAGACGTGCAACGGTCCGGAAAAGCAAGCACCCAAAACGTACTCTTATCGTAGCGATTGCGGTCCGGAAAGGCATGCAGCGGTCCGGAAAAGCGAGCACCCAAAACGCACTCTAATTGTAGACATTGCGGTCCGGAAAGATGAGCAGCGGTCCGGAAAAGCAAGCACCCAAAACGTACTCTAATTGTAGCCATTGTGGTCCGGAAAGACCTGCAGCGGTCCGGAAAAGCAAGCACCCAAAACGTACTCTAATTGTAGCCATTGTGGTCCGGAAAGACCTGTAGCGGTCCGGAAAAGCAAGCACCCAAAACGTACTTTAATTGTAGAGATCGCGGTCCGGAAAGACCTGCAGCGGTCCGGTAAAGCAAGCACCCAAAACGTACTCTAATTGTAGAGTAGATATCGCGGTCCGGAAAGACCTGCAGCGGTCCGGAAAAGCAAGCACCCAAAACGTACTCTAATTGTAGCCATTGTGGTCCGGAAAGACCTGCAGCGGTCCGGAAAAGCAAGCACCCAAAACGTACTCTAATTGTAGCCATTGTGGTCCGGAAAGACCTGCAGCGGTCCGGAAAAGCAAGCACCCAAAACGTACTCTAATCGTAGCGATTGCGGTCCGGAAAGGCATGCAGCGGTCCGGAAAAGCGAGCACCCAAAACGTACTCTAATTGTAGCCATTGTGGTCCGGAAAGACCTGCAGCGGTCCGGAAAAGCAAGCACCCAAAACGTACTCTTATTGTAGACATTGCGGTCCGGAAAGACGCGCAGCGGTCCGGAAAAGCAAGCACCTAAAACGTACTCTAATTGTAGATATCGCGGTCCGGAAAGACATGCAGCGGTCCGGAAAAGCAAGCACCCAAAACGTACTCATCTTTCCGGACCGCTGCATGCCTTTCCGGACCGCAATCACTACGATTAGAGTATGTTTTGGGTGCTTGCTTTTCCGGACCGCTGCAGGTCTTTCCGGACCACAATGGCTACAATTAGAGTACGTTTTGGGTGCTTGCTTTTCCGGACCGCTGCAAGTCTTTCCGGACCACAATGATTACAATTAGAGTACGTTTTGGGTGCTTGCTTTTCCGGACCGCTGCATGTCTTTCGGACCGTAATGTCTACAATTAGAGTACGTTTTGGGTGCTTGCTTTTCCGGACCGCTGCATGTCTTTCCGGACCACAATGGCTACAATTAGAGTACGTTTTGGGTGCTTGCTTTTCTGGACCGCTGCATGTCTTTCCGGACCGCACTGATTAAAATTAGAGTAGGTTTTGGGTGCTTGCTGTTCCGGACCGCTGCATGTCTTTCCGGACCGTAATGTCTACAATTAGAGTACGTTTTGGGTGCTTGCTTTTCCGGACCGCTGCATGTCTTTCCGGGCCGCAATGTCTTCAATTAGAGTACGTTTTGAGCGCTTGCTTTTCCGGACCGCTGCTCATCTTTCCGGACCGCAATGTCTACAATTAGAGTGCGTTTTGGGTGCTCGCTTTTCCGGACCGCTGCATGCCTTTCCGGACCGCAATCGCTACGATTAGAGTACGTTTTGGGTGCTTGCTTTTCCGGACCGTTGCACGTCTTTCCGGACCGCATGTGTTTCAAGTACAATCTGTTTTGGGTCCCTTCTTTTGGATGTCTTAAGAACTATAGCCCCATAACCGGCCCCAAAAGAGGTCTGAAACCAGTTCGACACATCTTCCTGCTCACCGTCTCAAGACTTCTTCTTTCTCTCTGTCTCTTTCTCCCTTCTCTTCTTTCTTTTCCCGTTCTTTCCTGTTTTTTCTCCAAAGCTGAGGTAGCCTACGGACAAAAAGAGGTCTGAAACCACTCTGAAACACCCCGCTGCTCACCATTTACAACGTTCTCTCTCTCCTCTCCCTCTTCCTCTCTCTGTCTCTCTCTCTCTCTCTCTCGCCTTCTGTTTGTCTCCATCTTCCATCTTCCTCTCTCTCTCTCTATATCTCTCTCTCTCTCTCTCTTTCCCTCTTCCTCTCTCTGTCTCTCTCTCTCTCTCTTTCTCTACCTTTTCTCTTTCTTTTTTCATCTCCCAAAGCTGGGGGTACCCAAAAAACAAGCCCAAAAGAGGTCTGAAACCACTGCCACTCTGAAACACCTTCCTGCTCACCATCTCCGGGCTGCTGCTGCATGTCTTCCGGACCGCGTTGGCTGCTTTATCTCTATCTATCTATCTATCTATCTGTCTATTTGTCTATCTATCTATCTATCTATCTGTCTGCTCTTTGAATGTATTTCCTTGTATGTTGTGTTCAAGTCTTTTCTGTCTGTAAATTGTTCTTTTCATCAAAGTCAGCTAGACACCCCGAAGGGGTCTGAAACCACTCTGAAACCGCTCTGAAACCACAGAAGTTCAACACGCGCAGAGCTACTTCCCAGTACTACTTCCCAGTACTACTGTGTACTACAAAGCTTGCACAAACCACTTCCCAGTACTACTGTGTACTACAAAGCTTGCACAAAGCACTTCCCAGTACTACTGTGTACTACAAAGCTTGCGCAAAGCACTTCCCAGTACTACTGTGTACTACAAAGCTTGCACAAAGCACTTCCCAGTACTACTTTGTACTACAAAGCTTGCACAAACTACTTCCCAGTACTACTGTGTACTACAAAGCTTGCACAAACTACTTCCCAGTACTACTTTGCACTACAAAGCTTGCACAAAGCACTTCCCAGTACTACTTTGCACTACAAAGCTTGCACAAAGCACTTCCCAGTACTACTTTGCACTACAAAGCTTGCACAAAGCACTTCCCAGTACTACTGTGTAGTACAAAACGTGCACAAAGCACTTCCCAGTACTACTTTGCACTACAAAGCTTGCACAAAGCACTTCCCAGTACTACTGTGTAGTACAAAACTTGCACAAAGCACTTCCCAGTACTACTTTGCACTACAAAGCTTGCACAAAGCACTTCCCAGTACTACTGTGTACTACAAAGCTTGCACAAAGCACTTCCCAGTACTACTTTGTACTACAAAGCTTGCACAAACTACTTCCCAGTACTACTGTGTACTACAAAGCTTGCACGAACTACTTCCCAGTACTACTTTGCACTACAAAGCTTGCACAAACTACTTCCCAGTACTACTTTGTACTACATGGCTTGCACAAACTACTTCCCAGTACTACTGTGTACTACAAAGCTTGCACAAACTACTTCCCAGTACTACTGTGTACTACAAAGCTTGCACAAACTACTTCCCAGTACGAAATACTAAGTGAATACTAAATATTTAACATTCGAAAACAAGTACGAGAATAATGGTGAAAAACAACTGAAATGATGAAAGTGATCCGGGAGTGTGGTCGCGCAAGAAACGCGCAAGGTTGGCGCAAGCTCGGCCCAAGAGGCCTTTGTGGGAACAGTAATTTAGGACAACCCCCATATATATATACAAATATATATATATAATTATATGTATATATATATATATAGATATATGACTATCGATTTTTCATCAACCAGGGTTTGATCAATTTTAGTCTCATCCTGGATTGACATTACGGATCCGTCCCTGATGGGTGACTGAAAAACCACGTGCTCACAGATCTCGACAACTGAGTGGCACAGTGATGAAACGCCTTGATCATATGGACATCTTATGGGGATCAAAACCATTCAAAACCTATGGTGCTGCATATTTTTCGGATGAACATGCATTAAAGATCATTAAACCATGAAACCAGCTATTTTGATATTCACCAAGGGATTCCATGGGGATTCCATGGGGATTCCATGGGGATTCCATGCAGCTCGAGCACCAGGCACGTCATGGCGCGCAACTACAGCGGAGCTCCGCGCTTTTGCCCTGGATATCAGCTGTCCATGAAGGTGGCGAAAGAGGTTTGTGCGCAATTTACCAAGGTGCAGCGGATTGCAGCGGGGCCAACAAAATCTGTTTTGTGGATGTGCCAAAAATATGCCGCAGGATTCTGAGATTCTGTTGGAAATCGTATGACAGAGTTTGCAGTGCCTCTTGGCGTCACAGGACTTGAACCAATGGGGTGGCTTTCAACGTGATCACAAGAAGATTGAAGGATTAGTGAAGATCAAGCCTCTTGGCTTTGCAGTTCTTCTCTCGGAGTCAATGGCTAGAAATGGTTTCATCATGTTCCATCGATCTGAGTATGCTGATTCCTTACCCTCTGGTAAACTAACATAGCTATTGAAAATGGCCATTTATAGTGGATTTACCCATTAAAAATGGTGATTTTACATAGTTATGTTAGTTTACCAGAGGGTAAATGGTTCCAATCTCCTTGCCATCTATCCATAACTATCCAGTTCTCTATCGATATCTATCCATCTAAAAATCCCATCAGATCGGAAATTGCCACGCCCAGGACTCGAGGCTATTTCGGCAAACATGCGGCCGTGGCCTATTTCGATTTTTCCAAAGACAAGTACTGCCTTACAGAGAAGCACCACCATGATGAATACATTGGTTGTTTTGATGATGAGGACTGAATGTTAAGTCTGAAAGCTTCAGACATATACTTCGCTGAGGGTGTTCAATGGGGCATCCACCATTTGGAGAATGGACTGGGAATCCAAGTATAGGAAATGCAGGATATATGGGGATGGGTCAAAACCTGGTACCCCTGGTGAACATCAAAATAGCTGGTAAATGGATGTTCATCCCACTAAAAATCTATCTATAGGTATTGACCCATACCCATATGTATAATCTATAGTTGGAAACTAGCAGAGGAATCTGCGTGACACCGCCCACATGTTTGAAATCTTTCAAAGACCAAGAACCAATAAAGATGGTGGTACACTCCCAGGTTGAGTTCGCTTGAAATTTGTGATGTGGATGCTATATACTGTATACAAATCGCAATATGTGTTTGTCTAAAAAAAACTGTACCCCGTGTCCAAATCATCATTTAAAGTCATTTAAATCATCACAAATCCTGCTTCATGTTGCTTCTCCAGATTCTCCAAATCATCATTTAAAGTCTCCATAATCATCATTTAAAGTCACACATCAACATGATATACCCTCTGGTTATGACATTCACAGTTCGCCATGGAAAATCATCACCATGCTATTAAGAACGATGTTTACCATCTATGGCTATAACCAGGCCATGGCTTAACCATGGCTAGCCCTGTGAATGTCATAACCAGATGGCACAGCGCAGGAGCTAGAGGTCATCGATCCCAACGGCGGCCGTCCCAAGACCCTGGAGGAAGAGTGTCTCGGTGAATCAACCATTTCTATGGGCCATATTTAATAGCTATGTTATATAAATTACCAGAGGGTATATCCCATCATCTAGATGATATATATATATATATATGCATTGAAATATGATATATTATTATATACATGTGACATAATATATAGAAAAAAATAGATATGTATACAGTATACATATATATATATATATATGAGATCATGACACGTATGATATGACATATATGAAAATCATGTGACATATATAAGATAGATGGGACCAGATTAACACAAATTCTGAGAATGATATATACTGTAGGTATTAAATTCTATGCACCCTGTGGATGTTTTTTGGGTCGGGTAGGTCGGAAAAAATGTTGGGGAAAACCCCCCAAATCCGATGGTTGGTCATCATTTTCTCCAGTAAACATGTTTTTTGACTTTATACCCCATTCTTTAGACAGCCATATTAGCGTGGATGATTTAATTTATAGCGCCCTGAGGTCGCGTCAGATATTTGCGAAAAAAAATCCCCAACTGGCCAAACTTTTGGGGGGCAGCCGGTTTTGAACGGTGGCGATGGGTGGCCGTTTTCCCCGTTTGGTGAATTGTATCGACATATCTATGGTGGGCTGATGATGGAAATATATCTCCCATGGCTTAAGGTGGAAATATTTCAACAAACTGCGACCCTCATTTCGCAGAGAAATGGCGTACCACGGCATCGTTATTTTCCTTAAAAAAACTGGCAATGCTTCCCATGGATCGAATCTCAGGCGCCCATGGTGCCATGGTTCAGGTACAACATGTGCCCGAAGCTGGTTCCAGCGATGATGCAAACGATGTTGCGAGTGCTCGCCAAGCAAGTTGAAACACATTCCACAATTGGATGGATGTTGGAGAGATTGCTTGGAAAGAAACTTGGCAAAAGAATCTTAGTTGTGCATAGTTGTGCCCCAATTTCTTGCGGAGATGTGTGGGGCCGTTTTGTGATCGACGGCATCGCGTTTCACCACATGTCTTCAATGTGAATCTGTTTCCTGGACACACTTGCGCAGCAAAAGGATGTTTGCAATGCGACATTTGCCTTGCCTTTCCAGCCTTCAATTGAGAAAGTACAGGTTAGCTGCCAAGGTGGCAGCCCAAGGATCTTGAACTTCATTGTCTTCCATTGAATGGCAAGTGACTCTATTGAATATATTCCATTGAATATCTTCCATTGATAAAATATCTGACTGGACAGAATTGTCTTCCATTGAATATCTGGCAAGTCCTCAAAAACAGACTGTGACTAAAAAACGATCTCCAGTGATCTTAGCCATGAGGAGACCTGAGTCAGAATCCTTCCACCCAGATTGGGCCGATGACTTTGTGATCGGCTTGTATGCAGGCACTGTGATGAGAGGAACTTGTCAGTTGCAAGATGTTGCAAGCGCGGAACTTTGTCCAGATTTATCCAGGAATTGTGGAAGTAGCGTTTCAATAAAGACAAAATTGACGTGTTTCTGCCACGTGATGATGGGTTGACTTTGAACTTTCTCTATTCTATGTCCAGGCTGTTTAAGCGCACAAGGCCAAACATGTCCAAAGGCAGTAAGGTCTCTAAATTATTCAGACATATAGCCTTTGTTGGATGCGATCCCCTGGTGGAAATTATATATGTTTGCATGAAAATGCAACATCATCCCCAGCTATTGTAGTATAGCCGTTCAGCTGACCATGCCTTGTGATTTCTGGATGCGGAGGCATCAACCTCATCAGCATGCCCATGTATGCATCTCGTCATGCGAACAGCGTCTTTGTGCCTCGCAGAAAGGGCACGGTGGAAGTCTTCTCCGTGGGAAACGTCGTTGCACCCGACGTGGACATCGACAACCCCAAGTTTGTACCTGTAGACTCTTGGCCAAACTAGTTGCTGTTGGTTGGAAAGCCCAGTTTCAGAGTTTGCATCTTTGCTTGTCCAGTCATTGAAGGTTCTCCTTGATCCTTTTTGAGCTGATACATGTTCCCAGAATTCAATTATATTATATGAACAACTATAGATATGATGATATGCATCATATAACAATATCATATCATACATCATCATCTATGTCTATAAATGTCATGACACTATTTTGATCTATAACTTGTGTCTAAATTTTGTATCTAATTTTTTCAACATGGTCTAACCATATCTCTAACCCGTACTGGCCTGATGTTTTGTTTCCAGATCCGCGTTTTTTTTCGGAGGAGTGGTACATCCCACAACCGCTCCTAGAGATGGGAATGGTCCCGGCCATGACCTGCTTCCATGGTTTCCTGCGGCAGTTGCCCTAGGACGATATGTTGGAAACGGACCGAAACTCAGCGAAGAAACTGAGATTTTTCGTGTTTCTTTTAAGGTGTTCCCACTGACTGGTAGTTCCAAGAATCAGGGAATATAATGGAATATAGATGTTTTTTCTATATCCCATCTATATTAGGGGAATCTGCAGGGAATGTGTGTTTTTTTTGTTTTTTTCTGGACCATCTTAAGCAAACATCAGGAAATACCTGGGATTTGGTGATGAATCTCAGTAAAGTGGCCTATGAGAGGAGTCACCAAAAATGGTCTCGGCTGGGGATGTTGGGAAAGAGGATTTCCATTTGGTGTTGAAATGGCCCTTACAGCCGGTGTCGTCACCCTTAGTCATTATTTTCTGCCCATGGCTTTTTGACTTTGTAGCAATCAAGCTTCTCAAAAAATTGCACTATTGATGATCAACATGGATCAACACCCATCATCCATCATCCGGATGATTTTTGACATAGCATGACTATCCATGAATCATTAACTTGTCATCTGTGATCCGTGTTTTAAATGTGAATCTTAATAGCCGGGATCCAACAGGTCACAGGTCACAAACGGTGATTGCGCCCAAAAATTTTGCGCCCAGCGGAGAGGAAAGCGGACTGGGTCATGAGTTTCTACAAAGGCTACAAGACCATTGATGGCATTGAAAACTGGCCAGAGATGGAGGTGGACTTTGCCCGGATGCAACTTGGCAGCAAGATGCAGATATTTTTTGGGGATGATTGATGGACAGTCATATCTATGTTATATCTATATATATATATATGTTATATCACCCAGTTGATGGATGTTGGTCCATCAACATTTCAGTTTTGGAGATAATTGGGAGTTTGATGGATAGGCAAGAGGTGTTTCTCATCCATTTTGGGATCCATTTTGGGGGACCTAAACTCAGTTTGACCAAAACCCATTTCATAGTCAGATGTCCAGCCAACACGATAGGTCCAGTTTGTCTCAAAATGGGGGTATGCCCCAAAATATCCCAAAATGGCAATTTCGATGGTAAAAATGATGATTGACCAGGAGATGTTGGAATTCCCTATGGAATGTAGTACCCTAATATAATATATATATATAATATATATATATACATATAATATATATATATCCTTATATCATATATCTATTAAGAGGTACTGGAAGCGCGATGAATGGGATGACGCACTGGAAAAAGCCATCGCTTTTGGTTTGATCGCCTCGCATCGTTTGGAGCAACTGGATCCAGCTGTGGAGTTCGGTGGTGAAAGTCTTCCCTTTGTGATTCGACTCAATCAGCACCTGGGCTTCAGATTAGTGGACGATGACAATGGATTTGCAATACGCAACATATATGCATGATTGTATATGCGGATATATCTACATATATGCGAGGGTCGAAGAATCGTAGGAAGTTAACCAATTAAGATGGATAAAGCCAAGACAGGCTGGCTCAATTCTCTCACATGGTGTAGCAATAGCCCCACAGATCATTGGAACTGGCTGGGATTGCTGCTGCGATGCTTTTGCCCACTTGACAGGTTCCATGCTTTGCAGGTGCGCAAGAACTTTGGAAAATTCCAGGGCGATTTGTACTTCACCAAGGACCCCAATTGTGCTTTATCAAGCTTTGAAACTCCTTGGGCTTGGAGTTTCCACAAATGGATAATGGATAACATGAGTTAATCATTATAGTTAATGAGTTAATCTTCAGCTGTCAGAAAATTTTTCCAGCGTTCATGCTGGGTTGTTTCGCTGGATGTTTTTTGCCAAATCTCCGATGGAGGATGGATATCCGGCCATGATGGAACTGGCAGATGGGACCAGAGTGGCACGTGGTGACAAGGATTGGCAATACTGGAAATTCGCCTGGAGGCAGGCGGAAAGAACGGTCAATGTGAAAATTCATTGAATGAGTGTTTTGTTGTGCCTGACTCAAAACATTGGGGGTTCCCATAGATTTTGACAAAAAGCCAATTTGGGGGTTGCATGGGGTCAAAGAGGTCAAAGAGACTCTCTCTCTCTCTCTCTCTCTCCCTCTCTCTCTTGTTTCCTGTCAAAAGCTGAAAGTATTGGGGGTGTGACTCAATGACGTGCAAAGATCCGTGAGAAAACTATCATGCAGACCTGTCATCCAAACGTATCATGGATCAAGTGGCTGTAATTACCAGTCAGAATATCAACGGAGTTCGGCCGCGATCATGATCCTTGATAAGATGTGGAAACGTGATCTTGGGTTCACCCAACACTTGCATGTTTCCCAATCTGGCCAAACCCTTCTTGTTTTCCATTGCTTGATGTGGTTTCCCCAGTGTGTGACACTTCATCCACCAGATTTTCTTAGGTGCTCCCTGATCACCGTCATCACGTTGACGGATCATTTGCACATGACCCACTTCAGAGCCGCCAATGTTATGGCCACGGCGGTGCGAAAGACCTTGTCGCCCAACCATCCACTGCGACGTTTGCTGTCCGTCTTCACCTTTGGATCAATCTTCGTGAACCTACAGGCGCCAAGCGCCTTGAAACCGGGGGAGAATCCAGGAGTCAAATCGTAACATGGAAAGGCATGGAAAGGCCACAAAGACTTGCACTTTTGGGACGAAGAGTCACGCCCAGAGGATGAATGCGGTTGAATGGGGAAGGGTTGGTAAACATGTAGTAAACATGGAAAGAAATCTTCAATTGGTGGATTTCTACACATGCAACATGTAAATAGCAAGCATCTCCAATGGTTCTGCCATTTCATCAGCTGTTCTTTCAGGCCATGCACACGCTGATTGGTCCACGACATGTGTTGCACCGCTCCACGCCTTTCGTCCAATTCGAAGACCTCAGCGAAGTGGTGCCGCAAAACTTGTTGCCCTTGCTGCTTGGACGTGGGAGAATGGGAGGATGGGGATGATGACAGGATGGGATAAGAATTTATAAATGGATATATAGTTAAATGATGTTAATAGATTTAAATAGAATATATCAGAATCCATGACACCTCGGAAACGTTGGTCACTTGGCCACATTCTGAGACTTTGCAGAAGCCAAATTGGAAAGTCATGCGGCCGCTGGGCGGCCTGGCATCCAGCCCTGCTGAATCAGCCATGTTGCTAGACATACAGTCACACACACACACACTACTATGTGTGTATGCAATATATATATAATTATATATACACATGTTTATAAATATATAAATATATAAATATATATATATACATCATCATCATCATCATCATTGTTGTTGCAAGTTTCAATGCTGCACCGCATGCGCCCTGCACCCTAAGGACTGAGAAGCATAAGGCCCTGCTCAAGGATGAGGAATGGGCAAAGTTGCCCTCAAAAGTGCAGGAATCGCCATATTTCTCCGATGGCAAGTTGCTCTTTGACGCAGAGAGGCTTGGGACTCGGGATTTCATCGGAATTTCTCTGGCTTGGTGGTGACATGGTGGCCGGGACCTGATTTAGGTGCCATGTGCCATGGTGGTGTGGCACGGTGCCATGTGCCCCATGTGCCTATCATGTGCCCCATGTGCTGCCTCCATGTGCTGCAGGAAGTTGTTGAAAGATTTCCGAGAGCTCTACGGCTACGGCTCCATGGGCATGTGCTCATCCAGTGATGATAAGATTACTGGACCGGAGGCCGGGCCAGGCCGTGAAAAGGGGAGTCAATCCCGCGGATCCCAGTGGGTGTCAAATGATTACATGAAAATATCATGAGATATTGAAGTAACATGTTTTAACATGATTTAACATATATGTTGAATTATATTGAATTGTATATATATACATGTATACATTGAATTATATACATATAATATATATTCTCTATATATAATATATTCTCTATATAGAATATATTCTCTATATATATATAATATATTCTCTATATATGTGCAGAATTTCTCATAATCATCATGTTCCATCCCTCGAAAGCGTGATGATGGCCCCAAATTCATCTTATTTTTTGCCATCGAAGGGTTGAAATCACCAAGGGCTTCTTCGATCTGTTTGCAGCTTGTCAAATGCAGATAGGGAAGATGGGTCGACTGCACCTGGGAAAACATGTATTTAAACGGGCCAAGAAAATCGTAGAACTGATGGGATCCTGTTCCTCACTTTCCCATCCAGTCACATCGCAAGTTCTGGTTTTGTGTTTTTAGTATTTTTTTTGTAGCTTTGGGAATTTTGATCGTCGTCATCATTGTCCCTAGTTCCTGACTTCATGGTCTTCTGTACTCTCAAGAGGTGGATTCTCCCTAGTTTGGTCAAGATTAAGGTACAGTGGGGTACTGGTACCCCCCAAACAAATTGAATGTGGAGAGCGGGTCAAAAGCTACGTTCTGTCCTCATGTCCGGTGCTGTTGGTGACATCCCCGGGAGCAGGCAGCAGGCTTCCTGAACGAGTTGGTTGCGGAGAATGCGCATTCTCACTATGCCAGCTCCCTCCATCCCAACGTCACTTGCACCGAGTTTTTCGAGGAACTTTGGCTCCATATTTCATGGGAAGATATGGGAAGATGGGAGATGTTTCACTTGGGGAAACTCTCGCGGCATGGCGCCACATGTCGCAGAATGTTCATTCCTGGGATGATTTCAGCGGACTGTCCTGAGGAGATTTTGATGTCCTACATTTGGACGGTGACAGGATGGCACCGGCATGTTGGTACTGTCGGTCTTTTGGCTGAACTTTGAGACCCAGATGCCATGCAAAACCGGACGGCAGATTGTTATATATATATATATATATTATATATAATATATTAATTGTTATATATATATATGTAATTATATTAATATATATCCTATGATATCCTATGATAATCTATGTATTCGATCGATCCGCAGTATATGTCCACTGCATCACCATACATCATATTCCCAGCTGGTGCTTGGAATAACCCGCTGCGAGGCGACTACTATCGCGATCCGGAACTTGCGTCCTTTAGTTGGCGAGACGGTGAACGTGTAGCAAGGCCCTTGCAACACATGCAGATGCTTGGAGGAAGCTGCCATGGCTGGTTGGTTTAATGGTTTAACATTTTTTTTAACCTGCAAAAATGGTGGTTGTTGATGTGGTAATCATGAAAAATAAGACATATAAGACAGTCCGGTTGGTTAAACATGTTCAAACATATAGGATAACTGTGTATTGATATATATATATAATATATATATATATAATTAATTAATATATATAATTAATATATGTAGAAATGAGATAGTCATGTCCATCCCGAGTGGCCGTAGAATGATGATTCCACCATGCTCCTTTTTCCCAAAAAGGGGTGGTGCAACCAGTCCCCGAAAACAGAGATGTTCCTGGAAAGTGATTTGACCCGAGCCTGATGCACGTAGCTGGAAATGATGTGTGGATTTGATGGGGTTTATTCGGTTTCGCCATTTGTCGATTTGGGGTATTGAAAACTATGCCAAAAACAGCGAGTTGTTATTGGGATGTCCACATTATCCCTACATTTTGTAAAGTCCCCATAATATCCAAAGTCTTGGTGGTGATAGTAAAAATCCATTGCATTATTGTTATCATTATTATCATGATTGTGAGATGTTGTCAGCATCATCATGATTATATTATGTTGTCATCATCAGCATTATTATCATGTTCATGATAATTATGAGTCGATATTGATTCTTGTTCAATTCGTATCATTATAATCATTGTGTGTTTCATTATTGTATGTTTAATCATTATCATATTGTTATTCTGAATATTACATTATTATTACGTATTTGTTAAATTGCTATTAAATACCATGGCATTCTTACTATATGTCAAAATTACGTTGTATCATTGACGGTTTGCTTTCCCACATTGCACACTTTCAGTGATCAATGTCACCTTTTTGGCTATGCTGAGGATGACCACTGTTGCAGTGTTTACCTCATCTTTGCAGCCAAAAATCATCGAGGACTACAGTGGCTCAGTCTGTTAGATCCGAGGAAGACAAAATGGAAAGGGATGATGAATAGAAAACTATGTGCATATTTATACATATAATATAGATAAAAAGACAAGCATGAAATAATAGACATATCTGTTGAAAATATGTTCTGCTGATTCTTCTGAGTATTTTTTTTTCATATTTCTCAACAATTCACGACGTCTGTTGATTTGTCAGGTGTTTTTGATATTGAGCCGATGCTCCACCCATTTGAAGATGTGATGACCTTTGCTCAGGTCATGTGTTCCAGGGCATCTACAAGGAGCCACAAATGATCCAGATCATGGATCGTTTCCGGGCTCAGCTTGGGCGTGTGTCCAAGGAAATCGAGAAGCGGAATGAGAAGCGACTCCATGATCCTGACATGGGATTCAAAAATATCCATGCTGATCCCAAGATTGTGGAATGCTCAGTGGCGGTGTGATGATTCCAATTTCCAGTAAAAAATTATGCCGTGCCCCAAAAAAGCACACTGTACATACTGTAAATATCTATTGTATATATTGTCCTTTTGCTACCAGTAGGTCAACCGATTGGGTTGGCTTCTGTGCTTTGACATCTCTTTAACGACTGGCGTTAACGGCAGTTCCTCTTGATCGCACTATTGGAGCCTTGATGCCGCTTTCAGGCCTGCAATTCAAAATCAAGAGAAACGTTTAGACATGCACCTGTTCCAATCGTGGTCTCTCTAGACTCTACATGTACATGTATACATGCTATACATACATACATACTATATATTTCAACCAGCTGATTTCGGTCAAAGAATGTCACGAGCCTCCAACAGTGTGGTCTATGCCAGAGCGCTCTGGCGATCGATTCGAGACTCAAAAAGTTTGGGAGAAGGCCCAGATCGCAGCTCTAACTGTACCCACTGCAATTGAAAAGGCATGTTGCAGCTATGCCCATACTTGTTGACTTACGTATTTTATTTATGCTGAACGATTATATACATATACTTCTACAGATATTTGCATCCCTTGCATCATCTAATCAACAGAGATCAACAGATACGACTGGTGACTGAGAATCTCCCCCACTGTGTCCGCTACGCTGGTGACATACCTTCGGTCATCTTCGGTCCTTGGGTCAGGTCTTGGGACTGCCTTACTACGCGTTCTACCTCCTTCCTGCTCGATTTTGGGAACTGGCGGCTGGAGTTATCCTCTACCTCTTCTGTGCCAAAGTCATGACTGGAGAATGGTTGAAAGGATTTGCAGCACTGCACTGCACAGGGAGGGATAATGAGGAATATATGCTTTGTGACTTCTTTGTGACTTCAATTCTTCAATCATATTTTATGTTTTCCTGGGATGTCCGGCTGATCACTGGAGGTGCTGAGAAGGAACGCATCATTTCCGAGATGTTGATGCGACAGCCTGCAGTACTCGCTTTGCTCCAGTTGTGGACTGCCTTGCTTTTCCTGCGATTTGTCGGAAAAAATGGAAAAATGATCCATCCCCATGGGCCCATGGGCTGGGCTGAAAATTGATTGTCCCCATGATAGTCTCCCAACTATGTTGTTTCCCCAATTCCAAACATAATCCCATTGAGATGTATGCGTCTTCTACTATTGGTTAGTCTATGTTAGTCTTCTTTTTGAAACTATTTTATATTCATAATCATTGTTTTGGTTCCCCAATGGTTATGATTTCCATATAAAAACCATATTTTTCTCCCCAGAAGCGCCGATCTCAGGGTGACCTTCCTGGTGAAGTTTGAAGAAAAGAACTTTCCGCTGCCTGGCGCCTTGATGCCTGCGACTTGGCGACCGAGAAGCTGCTGGTTGATCAATGTCGATCAATGTTGATCATATATCTGGGTAAATTGTAACATATTATAACGACCTCACTGCGACCTCACTGGAATTATGGTTAGTAAGGGAAATCATCCCCAAATGGCCTTATTTCAGGTTAGTGAATTATTATAATTTACCCAGATATATTGGGATCTGGTTGATAGATGTGGGATTGGGATACCATTGGGATATGTTGATATTTCGGGATCTTTTTTTGAGGTTTCCTAATAAATTATGCGGATATCCCAATAGCTGGATGTTTTTTTCATGGAACATCTTACTAAAAAGGATGATTTGGTGGCACCAGACATTTTAGGAAAGCTCCATAATATTGGGATCTGGTTGATAGATGTTGATAGTAGTTGATGGTTGAGAACCATCATTCCCCTGATTTTCGACAACTTATGGTTGAAGTTCCAAGGTACCTTTTTTGTATCCAATTCTTTGTGAAGTTGCTTGGTTTTTTCTAAGGGGTCATACGGTGTCATAATCCACTGGGAATCTCATGGACAAACCATAGTGCAGACCCCCAATCCTCCGAAAAAATATTTGATTAAAAAAATGGTATAAAACATGGTCACTTCCCGGCATGCTATTGGCATGGGGCCAAGCCATTTTTGGCATGCGCCGTCAATCTCCAGGTTTTTGGCACCGTTTGCTTCATCCTCTGTGGATATGCGCAGTTTGCCTTTCTGAATCGGCTGTTGAACTTTCCCCCTGTGGTTTACATCGGAAACTTGGACATGGGATGAAGACGCGCCAAGTCTGGAATGTCAACTGACCTCAAAATGGTTGGTTACTGGGGTAATTAATGGTATATTAATGGTTATTCTTGGATTTATCACATGGCAATTCATGGTTGCTCCAACAAATTATAGGTAAATTATAACTAGAAGGGGTGGTTTCGTTACCTCTTTATCTAGCTATTGTCTATTGTAATACTGTTCCCTCCCAAACGTACTTGGGATGTTGGGAGCAACCCTCATAATCCTTCTTCAGTGTGATTGTGATACTCCATACTCTGAAACTGCCAACTGTGAAACTGCCGCTAGCATTTACCTCCATGGCAGGAAGTTTTTGTTCAACGAGCTGAGGAAAGATCTCTTACTGCGTCTACCTGAGACTCGACTTGATTGGTGGAAAGTTTGTTTAACATCCAGCATCCAGCCTGCGTCCATGTCTATGGCATTGGAAGACAGGTAATATCATGGAAATATCAAATCCTGCACGGTTTGGTGGAAATTGAGGTGGCATGTTCCCGTCCTTGCACTATGTCGATGGCTCACTCTTGGCTGCTTGGCCAGCATAACCTGTACCATCCTGTCCTGTGTAACAGTGCAGTGCCCATGGAGCGGTGGGAAGAGAGATCTCATCAGAACTCAGCCGTTTTTGGAGCTGCAACGAGGCGTGTTTGCGATTGGCTAAAATTGGCTGGTGGTTTCAAACATATATATATATATTATATATATATATATCATCATAATATGTTGAGGGCCCCTATACAAAAAAAACACATGATACCCCAATGACTCACATGAGTTTTTCTGGAAATAAAGACTATGAGTGTGTCTCTATGATTTTGCGTTTCTAGTGGGTGAACATGATGACAACCAGGAGATGGGGGTACAACTGAGGATCCGATATGCCAATGGCTTTGCGCCTCCTTTCCTTGCTTCCTACAGCTCTTCTGGCGGTGGCCACTCACCATCTCGTTGAAGGGCCATTGAGGAAAGTGCTGCTCGGTAATGGAACAACTGGAGAACCGTGGAAAAAGAGTTGAATGGTGGAATCCACAATCTTCCATTTTTTCGAGCTAGCTCAAAACACGTAGCTGGCTCAATTTCATCAGGGGTATGTTTTGACAGTCACCTTGGGCTTTTTCAGAGGTACCATATCTAGTACTAAAGTAATCAGTGGGGACTGAACCTGGCAATATAAGACATTGGGAAGTTTCTGCGAGCTCGCTCAACTGCAACGAGCTGGCTCAGCACCATCGAGCTCGCTCAAACACATCGCTCTAGCTCAGGGGCATCGAGCTAGCTCAATGGCATCGAGCTGGCTCAATTTGTTCAACGGAAAAAAAAAAACGAAAAAAAAAAACACCAAAAAAATTGAGCCAGCTACGTCACGTTGAGCTGGCGGACGAATGTGAGAGCATCAAAACGAATACTAACTATGTATTGGCCGGGTTCATGACGCATTGGCGAGCCGGCTCAAGGGCATGTAGCCGGCTCAATTTCTGCGAGGTTTTTTTTTTTTTTTTTTTCGCTAAAAAAATTGAGCCAGCTACGTGGCGCTGAGCCAGCTACGAGGCGCTGAGCCAGCTACGTGGCATTGAGCCAGCTACGTGGCACTGAGCCAGCTACGTGGCACTGAGCCAGCAAGGTAGCTTTGAGCTTTGATCTAGCAAGGAGGCAGTGAGCCAGCAAGGTAGCTTTGAGCTTCATCATATATATATATATATACCTATGTAATCCCAACCATATAATATACTAAATCTAGAGCAAAACAATTTTTTTGAGGGAGACACGTACCTTTGAGCTGGAGCGGGAATGTGAAATCTAACGTTCGAAAGAGTGATTAAATTGATGGTTAAATTGATTCAGATTGTGAAAAACACTTTTACTGTATCTTGATTAATATTCGCAAGGGGGATGAGACGTCTTGTGGATGTTGCTTGCTTTGAAAGCTGGTGAGCACTTTTTTATTTTGGCACTCGTGCTATTCCTTAACCGGCTACATTTTCAACCATGCAGATTTGAACATTTCGTGACACCGCCGTGCCTTCCAAACATTCGGGCTGACCAGTTGGGTATGGGGTCGAAAATGAATTCGCAGACCCACAAAATAGATAATTCTTATTGTTAGAGTATCGATTTTGGGGCTCAATAGTCGGACCAGGCCTCACTATAGTAATATATCTCCATGTACTGTCACTGGTAGCATATACCCCACGAAAACCCGTAGTTTTGGAGAAAATCGCCACTTCTGGGTGAAAATTGGATCATTTTGGTGTTTATCCATCGCTAAATCATGGTGAGATTCCGACCTGTTTCTGGTGGATGACAGGGAGATCAAATCCAAACGGAGTCTCATCACCAGCTTTGTGGCCAGTATCGGGGTGGCTTTCTTCGTGCGCCTTGGTGAGAAAAACGGGCTGGGACTGGGCCAGCTGGGTTAGGGACTGGGGTACCAGGCCAAAAAGTTGGAAAAGAAACATCTGATTCTGGACTCCTGTACGATAGTCAATGACCTCAAAGTGTTCCTTGATGCTGGTTTATCCAGGTTAAGGCATGCCAGGCATAGGCCTAGGCAGAATGCGGAAGACCCCTGCAGCACATTGCACTTCAGGGTCCTGATCGTGGTCATTCGCCATAGTGCCGGCAAAAGCCCCCTGGCTGCGTTCGGGGACCAGGCGGCATCCGATGACTAAGACCTTGACGCCAGGAAATGCTGCACATCCGCCAGTTTCACACATTGATACAGATCAAGTTCGAGCCAAGTGCCAAGTCTTGACTCCCACCAAAAACTAGACAAGGACAAGTTTCATCAATCCTTGTTCGGGGGGTGTACTGGTCAGTTGTATTGCTTAAGATGATTGTATTAGAAGTATGCAGGATTTGGATCTTTGAAAAGAAGCCCTCTGGAGACTAAACAACATGAAAATCATGAATTCCATTCGAAATCAGCTGGAAATCAGCTGGAAATCAGGTTATTTCTTGTGGCTGGGCTGCGTTGCCTTGATGTGGCTGCTGATTTTGTTCCTGCTCTTCTCCTTACAAAAAGAAGAGGCTGCAGGATCCCGCAGTCCGGACTCCCGATGACCATCACGGCATGAACGTGGGATATATCAGGATAATATATATATATATATATTTAAATATATGTATAACTATTGTATAACTATATTTATATAACTATGTATAATTATATATATCTATTCCATTTTTGGACAGACTCACACATCAAATAGATTCAAATCATCGCAGAGGTGGTGTTTTTTTGGAGTTTCAAAGTGCAGTGTCAGCAGATTAAGATGTGGAAATGACCATGCAGAACAGTTGAGAACAAAGGCCGGAGACTGAGGAAATGCAGCCATACATCACTTTCTCAAAACAAAAGACATTAAATTGGAATGTGGCTTTGACTCAAGACTGGTGGAGGCGGTTTGGTTGTGCAGTTGTTGACTTTGACGGACCTGCATCACTGAGACCTTTTCATCTTCACCTGCCTTTTGGTTTGTGCTTCCTTCGGCTTGACGTGACCTGACTGCAGCCACCGCTGTTTTTTTTTGCTGTAACCCACATGAGTTGGGATATAACCCCTACAACTATGGTGAAATGTAAGCCACTTATTAGTTGCATGGCTATGTATGGCTCAGGTACAACAATTACCATGTGAATTCTGACCTTCACTCGGCGGAGCATGTCATGGTGAATCCGCGTGTAGCTGGGCTCTGCATCAAGGGAATTGGAACAGGCGGGTTCTACTCTCTACTAGAAAATTTGGATGGCAACCATATTATGGGGATTGGTCAAAAGCTATTGTTACATATTGTTACGATATTTGGGAAAATTACCAGGTTTTGACTTATAGCCATATACTTTCATGCATGTTGCGTCATGTTGCGGTGTGTTTGTTTGCCTAGATGGGGATCAACAGAGCGCCAAGTTGGATGAACTCCAGTTTCAACATTGTAAGTAAATGCAAGGAATACCTCATGATTGTGGGATCACCATACCCCAAATGCCATGTTTTCGTCATGGTTGATATAATTTATTTGTCATCCGCCTTGATGACCGACCTCCATATTGTGCTAGCCTACGTTTTCATGTCGCAAGCATCTTGTCAGGCAGATGAGCGCAGCTTGGCATACAATTGAGTTGAACAGATTCGAGACATTTTTTGTTGCGCCTTGATTATCCTTGATTGGTATACTTCCACATATAAGATGTATTGTTATATAATGATATACAATGATATACAATGATATATGTATATAAACATTTATAATATATATAGATATGGATATATTATGATATCAATATTATAAATATCCTTGGTGCGCTTGTGTTGGATGTGTTGGATGTGACTTCACCATGCTCCCAGGCGACGAGGAACCAGCCATGGTCCAGGCATCCTGCGACCCGGCGCCTGGTAAACATCATCTATTCCTATGGGCCATAGCTATATTGAATAACCAGAGAGTAATATGAGGAATATGTCTTACTAAGTTTGGCCATTGGAGTCAAATTGCAGATTACCCCTGAGCCAGCTGATGGTATTGGTTTGCTCTTGGCGGGAGCAATCTGGAGGGTTAGCCGGAATTGAAGTGGCACAAAGTTGTTGGACTCCAAAAAAGAGCTGGTCCAAAACCATACTCAGGACCAGCCAGTTGTATACTGCCCCCCATGTTCGAGCCTCCATCAATCGTTTCATAGTCCAGGTACTATGTGCAGCTGCGTCAGTGAAGATGCTCGGTCATTGAATGCCTCAACGGGGAGATCCAAAAAGTGGTCAAAATCTCCCAGAAAGGGGGAAGCTTCTAGAAATGCCAAGATCCAAATCATGCCAACATTATATCCATATTATATCCATCATCACCGTGGTCTATAGGCCAAATCCCAATTTTTGTACCAGTTACATCCCCATTGTGGCTAATTTTTAGATCTCCATGTGACTGGGGATCCACAGCAAACTCCAACTGCTGAAGATCAGCATCAATCCATATCAATCCCCAGGCATCATAACTCTAATATCCATTACTAAATTCAAATATCATATCATCAATCTCCAGGCTTCTTAGAACTATGACCGGATTCATAGAATTATATAGAATTATAAAGTCCAATGCCCATTATATATCAAAGGGATGAATATGGGTATTGTTGTGTCCACATATTAGTATATATAGCTATATTTATGTGGGTAAACCCAGGTGCTAGTTGTATAGATATTACTTTTTGATATTGATGGGATCATACATATCAAATGGCAATATCATTAATCAATAGTTACATATGCATATATAATATATATATATATATTTATACATGGTCGAAATTAAGTACATTGATAATCCGCACAGATCCGGACGTTTGCCCGGAGCCTATGTGTTCTCGCCCAAAACGGCCCTTCTTTTCCCCGGACCCCCACGAAGTCTGCGAAGGGCTCTAGCCGTGGCGAGGAGCCACACCTAGTGTACCGTCCATCCCTGCTAGGCGGTTAGAACTGCAGATGAAACATGCGTTAAAACCGTGGGAAAAATGAGATATATGATGTCATCTTGGGCGAACGTTAGGTTCTGCGGGAAATAATCATAAATCATAAGTACAATCCACATATTATATCTGGTTAGTGGTTTGGAAGATGTTTTATTTTCCCATATATTGGGAATAGTCATCATCCCAACTGACTTTCACTCCATGATGTTTCAGAGGGGATGAAACTTACCACCAACCAGATATCTATATAGTCATGGCATAGTCGCGGCTAAAGATGATCCCATCTACCCTCTGGTAATTTGTTACATAGCTATTGAAAATGGCCCAGTCGAAATAGTGAGTTTTCCCATTAATAGCATGGTGATTTTCCATAGTTAACCAGTGATTTTCCATTAAATATGGTGATTTACCCATTAAACATGTTGATTTTCCCATTAAAAATGGTGGATCTTTCCATAGTTATGGGACATTTATCATAAATATATTAACCAGTGATTTCCCATTAACTATGGTGATTTACCCATTATGTAAACGTTTACCAGGCCGGGTATCGCCATCTAAGACCTGGACCTATCATCTTCCGCCTGAGAGTTGCACCGCGGATGCATGGAGTTGTTCATCCAGGTCACCAAGCGCCTGCTTTCAAGGAGCCGAAAGGCGTTTTGTTGCGATGGAGAACCATGAAATCCTGGAGGTATAGTACTATGAATATCTATGATATGCTATAAATATGCTATAAATACTATACCCCCAGTATATCATAGTATGGTATAAGTACTATATTATATCTATAGTACTATGAATATCTATGATATGCTATAAATCTGGGTAAATTATAACGACCTCACTGCGACCTCACTGGAATCATGGTTAGTAAGAAAAATCATCCCCAAATGGCCTTATTTCAAGTTAGTGAAATATCATAATTTACCCAGATAAATACTATACCCCCAGTATATCATAGTATGGTATAAGTACTATATTATATCTATAGTATAGAAAGAATGTGAATATTTTCTATGATATACTGGGATATACCTGATGCAGGTGAAGTACATGGAAGTCACCAGCCTATTCGTGTGGGATACAATGGGGATATCAATGTGGATCTGATGGGAATGTAATCGAGGATATAACCAACTTAATATGATATTTGGGTTGGTCTGAAATTTCTCGTCTACCTTGTATTTAGGAAGTGGGAGCAGCTATTTTTCAGACAATACCACAGTACATGGCTCACTTTAATTGGCACACAAAAAAATCCATAAAAGTTGTTTGATACATTTATATGATTTATATGGGTATATAATTTTACACAGGAATTCTATGTGTTTTCTTTTTGTTGGCTTCCCAATTCCAATGTTTCTGCACGGAGTGAAAACCGAAGGGGACGCCGATTTTCAGGAACACCTTTGAGCGAAGCGGATTTTCAGCCACATGTCACTTGGCACTGTTCGAAAACTTGTGGGTTTTGATCTGGCGCAAAATCAGGCAGGACCTCACGTACGAAACACACACAATCTGAGGGAAATCTGAGGACCAGCAGCAAACATGGGCAAACACGGGGCAAACGTAACGGCTAGTATGAAGATGTTTGAAGATTTTATAAGTGATCTCATCAATGAAATCAGATTGAGATAAAAAAAAACCTGCCATTTTGATGACCCCATTTTTTTGACCCCCTTCTTTCTGATTTTTATGGGCTTCTCACCTGGTCGTGGTTGACGTCTTCTTCCTGGCAAGGTGCCATGGGGCCACGAGAACTGCATGGGAGTGGAACTCTCTCGTGACGAGATCCTGAGTCGTTGCCTCACGCCGGAACGACAACGAGACTCGGCAGGGGGCCATGCAAATTGGGGTCGCTTAAACTTAGAGTATTACAGTGGCATATGTCTTGTTTGAAATTTGTATTATACAATATTATACATAATATATATATATATATGTACTATATATATACTATATATATATTATATATACTATATATATACTATATATATATACTATATATATACTATATATATACTATATATATACTATATATATATACTATATATATACTATATATATACTATATATATACTATATATATATACATTTTATAGATATAGATACATATATATTTTATAGATATATGATTCAGGTAAGATATACATATACCTGCAGCTCAAAATGTAAAGTCCCCATCCATATCCCGGAGACACAGGCGGTCCATACCCTTTTGAAGAGACTCCTTCGTTCCATACGTCCGGATCACCGGGTAGCGATCCATACACGTTTTTTGAGCCATAGCCATATATATATATATCATTTGATGATATATGATACACTTGTGTATATATTGTATGTATATATATATATATACATATTTATTTATAAACGCATCATTATACCACTATATGCGTAGAATACCTCAGCGACTGGTGTCTTGGACTCAGGAAGCATTTGGGTGGTGGGCGATTCCCATTCCTTTGCGCTGGTCCCGTGCATAACGATGACTGCGGAGAAGGTTGGCATGCCAGTGGCTGGGCTGAAGCCATGGGCTATCCAGGTGGCAATGGCTCAAGATTATGCCCAAAAAAGGCTTCTGAAAATACCCATTTATGGCTATCTTAGTAGGGTAAGTAATGATTAATCATGAAGTTTGGAGGGACCCTATTTTCATACACACCTAAATGACAATGATTTTTATTGATGAAAATCCATTACACCTTCGATTGATTTTCCAGATGTCAATCGGTTTCATGGATTTACACCTAGAAACAAAGGTTCGATGGAACTGTGGTTTCAGGGTTTTCAAACTTGGAGGTGCAGCCATGTCATGCACGTCATGCACTAACAACGATCCTGTTGTGAGGTTCACAACTACAGCTGGCCAGCGCATCATGCGTGCCCTTCCTGCAATAGTTTGAGAGAAATAGGAGGATTTGGCAAGCAGCAGCATTCTCACACAATATGCCCTCTGTCTCTTTTAAAGTGCTTGAGCGAAGAATGGTTTTGTTCATGGATAAGTCATTACATACATCATCAATACAGCATGTTGCCACCCGCCACCCAATCACATCATCATACCCACCATCATCATCATCATCATCAAAAAATCGTTCATGAGTCATCATTATGAATCATTCATGAACCATTCAATGCATATTTTTTGGCGTTCTTTATCATGATTTGGCAGTGTGTCAAAACCTTGTACCCCTGTAGTTCAAATCAAAATAGCTGGTAAATGGATGTTCATCCCACTAAAAATGGTATTTTCATAGGTATATTGATCCATACCTATTTGGAGAACCGACCTCTTCAGTGTCCAAGGTGCGATACGGACTGGGACAAGCTGTTGGACGTCTTGGAGGCAAGGGTCAACTCTGAGGACATCGTGGCGTTTTCAGCCTGTTTCTACTGCATGCAGTGGTGCCCCTTGGCGAAACATGCCGACCCTTAAAAAAGGGACAAGGGACTGGAGCAAAAATGGGATTGGAGGACGAGTTCGTGCAATCAAGAATGGATATACTGGTATGATATTATATATATATGTGTATGTATATATAATGTATGTTTTGCATGTGTGTGTGTGTTTTTTAATGTTTTTTTTAAGCACAGCATCCAGAATCCATGAATATCCATCAATATCCAGAAGTTTGTATGTAATGGACGTCCCACATTGTCCCATACTATCTATTAGTATATGTATACCCTCTGGGAATTTAGTACAGCTATGTTTCTTTTTTAAGTATGTATTAATTATCGAACTAAATTGACCATCTATACGATAGGAAACTGTCAAATTACCAGATGGTATTTCACCAATATTCCATTCATATACCACTAATATTCCATATGAAATTCCCCACTATCTCCCCATTGTATCACCATTTTTGTTGGCTAAATCACTTTGAAATACAGCAGATTTCGCTCAGGTTTGCCACATTTCGAAGAGCTGATTCAACGCTTGGTGGCATTTGTTCAAAGCAGAAGTGCAGCTTGGCGGCTGGCGCGGAATTTGCCCATACCTTAAGAACTTCCAATTTTTGTTCATGATGGAGACTATGATAACAAGAAGAATACAACACATGGTTATTACATGTTATTATCAGGGGGTTGTGACGGGTGTTAGAAAAACAGTTATGATTACAATCCAATGATAATCAACTGTAAATCCACTATCATGGACTATAATTGACTGCAAGTCTGCAAGAAACTCTAATCGATGGATCTCATAAGGACACTAAGAATACACTAGGGGGTCATAACGACAAGTGCAATAAGGATCCAATGAAAATACCACTGTTGGATGCTTATCTTGTTAGGAATTAGTACTTTACCTGGTTTATTGGGGTTCATTTCAACCCATATAGGGATACGTATCAACCAACCAGTATAATGAATAGAGGGAGTTTTTCATGGTTTAACGGGTGTGCCAATAATTTTCCCCATAAAATGTAAATTAATGAGGGGTTTATCAACTATAGATTTGCTCAAAAATGGGGGGATGGGCACCATTTTGCTATCGAATACTGACTGTAGTTTGCAGTCGTCTGAGGCAAAGTTGCTGGTTTTCAAAGATGTTCCGCTCTTAAATCACAACTCAGTGAATTGCGCCTTGGCTGATTCCCAGTCTGCTCCCCCAGCCATGATGTCATGGAGAAATCCCATGCCCCAGATGAGTTGGTTTCTTTGGGGTGCAATAATCGGGTTTAATTCTGGGTATAACTTATATAACCATGGTAATGATCCCCATAAGTTGCGAAACATCCTATAACTATGGTTTTATATTCAGTCAATTCCAGTTATAACTGGAACTGCAATCCCAAGTACTGGTTGAATTGAAGCATCTGCAGCCTGCAGCACAAGCTATCCCCATTGCGTCTGACAATGCGCTGACAATGCATGCAACCTGGGTATCATGGGGATATAATGGGGATGTAATGTGGATATAATGAGAATAGAATGAGATTTAATTGAATCCTGAGATATAATGTAACCGATGGGATTTAATAGGATATTAAGTGTATATCTATAAATTGAATAGGATGGAACCAACCATTTGTGGGATCCATTATTCCACTGCAACACTTCGTAACTGTTCTTCGCTTCGAGGTGCGAATTCTGATCCAGGGCAATTCACAGGATGCTCCATCAGCAAAGAACAAGCCACGGTGGATGTGAAGGATACCAACGACATGCTGGATGCGCACCTGGGCCCAAACCATGACTCCACATGCCCTGAAAACATCAAAAACATGGCAATTTTGTGGGTCCATTGCTGCACCTGACCTACCCTAGTGGCCACAAAAACATCCCCAAGCAGTCCAAGCAGTGAAGTCTGGCACTTGAGGTACTCGAGCGACTTTGGCATGAGACTCGACCGGAAGTTGAAAAACCCCCGGTCGAATTGAGATGGTCAACTTGGTTCAACTGATCGACATAAATTGGGATGGAATCCATGTTCGTGGTTTTCTTAAGATGAGGGACCCTGACAATTCATCAAGATTGTTAATATTGTTTACTTTAGTGTGGGAGCCATATGGGTTTTTATGAGATTTTGAGCAGTTCCCCATCGTGAGAAACTCCCAAATGGATCTGCTGAAAAACAATGAGCAATGTGACCCCAAAAAAGGACCTTTTGTAGACCAAAAGAAGGGAGGAATTCATGGGATGGGAGGTCAATCATGTTCACCCCTGGAGTTCTCCATATACCATTCCTTTCCAAATTTGGTTGTGTTGCTCTAAGATCTGCTCAAGTCGCACGTTGGACCTTGAACAGGAATTCAGACAATAGCAAATGGCAGGAAACTCTGATTGGATGCTGGAATACGGTCATTGCCATCGATTCTCTTTTATTCAGTGCCAGATTAGCCAGGTTGGATCTTAATTTATATCCGACTATATTCTATATAGATTTGACGTATAGAAGTATACGTCATTGGATCAGGACACCGGATGCTTAACATCAGTTGTGACATTTGTTGCCATTTGCCAAGTGCTTCAGCTGTGCTTCATCGCTGAGGATAGACCTCTTTAGTCCCATGTGCATGGAGGGGCGCTGCGACATTTTTGTGCCTGGTACATCAGCTGTTGCCTGGGTCGATAAGACTCATATCAACCTGATCCTTGGCGAAGATTGGATGGCCATACGAGAGGGGAATAGATGACTAACCATGGGATTTTGGGGTGTCCTATGGAGAAGGGCAAACCCCACATAAGCCAATAACTGCCCTTCTCCAAAGTTCTACTTGTCTAGTAGAAAAGGGTTGAACTTTGGGCCTTTGGCTGCGTAATTAGCTGTTTGAACAGATAGATGATGGCATTCATGAGTTCTGGTCCGCCGCTGCCAATCTGAATATAAATGAGGTCGACATAGGTCGGCGTAAGCCTCAGGCATAATGTAGTGTCATGGCTGTAGAAGACTAAAATCCTGCTAGTTGAAGTCTCACAAACTAAGAAAGTCATTAGAATCTTCATTGGAAATCCAGTCACTGGCCGCTTTCAAACTCAGGAACGGTTGTCACTACTTGGCTCCTTTCATTTGCTCAGGGATGCGTTCTTTGGGCTACATTTGAAGCGTTTAGGATTGGAAAAGCACGTTCTTGCAAAGGCTCTGGAAGACAGCGTTTCAGTTGAATGTCCAATGGTTTGCGTCAAAGATGAAGTCAGTTGTCAAACGACAAGGTTGTCGTGCCTTTTCTATGTGAGCTCACTCATTCCCAGAATTTGTTGGCAAATTGGCAAACCTCGAAGCAACTCTTAATTGATTGCATTGGCCGTGTGACGCTGTTGTCCATGCACTTGTCAAGAGCGATAGAATCCATAGCAATTCGCAACAGGGTGCTGTACAGGAGAGTCTCAATGAGTTCCAAAAGCAATCCACATCAATCCATATCATATTTTGAAGTGGAAGTGCAAAAAGATGCAAAAAGATCCTAAATTCCCAAATCATCAAGCATACCGGCATACCCTCAGCGTGGTCAGTTGCCGATGTAAGAGCCCTTTCATGCCAAATTAGTTGAAAAGACATCTCCGTGAACACAACCACTGATTCCAGGGGAAAGGTGCTCCTACAAACCAAATCAAACGAGCTGTCTCAAGTTGTCATTTCACAGATCATTTTCCCCAACTGTATGTATGATTATGTATGGCTGTATGGCCAACCTAAAACAAAAAAATGAGACATGCTCACCGTTGCTACGTTCTCATTTGCAGCCTGGGCAAATGAGAATGCTAACATCAAGATTCACACTGCAAAGAGAATCGAAAGTACTTGATAGTCTGAAGAACAGTGTCAACTTACGCAGAGCATGGCTTGGAGCAGAAATGAGAATTGCTCAAAATTCTCGACCCCTTAAAACAAGGATGGTGGAAGACAAGAAATGGCCAGTGATTCATGCGGACCCGGTTTCAAGTCAACATAACGGTTGATAACGTCATTGAACTTGTTGGTTTTGCTTCGAAGTACCCGAAGTACTGAGTCTATATAAAGACGCCAGTATATTGCCCTTTACACACCCGCGGGATTTGCCGTCAAAGCATGGAGCAGCTCTCCTTGGACGCATCCAACTGTGTTGATTTTTTCACATTTTTCCAGTGGGTTGTTGTTTTCTAGTGGTACCAACTTGTGATAAACAGACAAGTTGTCGTACAACTCCCAAGGATAGCAGCTCAGAGCCAGCAGCTAGCAGCTGGGAGTTGTCGAACCACACCGATGTTCAAAACATCGGGAGTGAACTGCAGCTCCTGCAGGTTTTGAAATTGGAAAATGGCTGGGAATCCCTGAAGAAAAGAAGGACACTTTTTGTCAACTTGGCACCAGATTTGCTTTATCTAATGGAGTTTCCCGGAGCCCTGGCACGCTTTTGGCATGCTCTTGGCCTGAAAAATGCTATCTGAAGTGGTTTAACACATGTTTTACATATGAAATGATGGTGACAGATGGATGTTCTGGAAGTGGTGAGTTTGGGTTCCAAGAAGGCCTTGGCTTGGTTTGGGACCATGGGAAGGCCAAGCGAAATCGTGGTGAACCAGGAATATGTCCACGCTGGGAGGCGAAGAATTCTTAGAATCTGGACGTCAGTGGCACAGGGCAATGGCACTGGTTTTGAGAACGTGATATTAAGTTCGGGCCCGATATGCTGGATTCCATTGGATTCCATTGGGTTCTATTGGATTCTTGTCTCCACCACAAGGTGTAGCACAGCAATCATAGATTGCGCTGGTTGCACTGCCACTCTGACGCGGGGCAGAAGCGCCAAAGGACTACCAGGTAATGGCACAAAGTGGGCCTGATCCTTACTGCCTTGCGAAGACAGAAATCGAGAGGAAACCGAAAATCCCGGCCCTGATTCCGCTTCATTCAGATCGAGAGTATGGGGATGGGACTGATTCCATGCCTTCAATTTGGGTAGTTTTTTTATTTTCAAACCCTTGCCAAAGAGTTATGACAGTATCCGTTGTGTTCAGCTTTGCTCAAGGCACACCTCAAAGCATCAACACAATGCATAGAAGACGAAAATGATGTGGGTCTGAGGCAAAATTTGAGGCCCAAGAGAATATAAGGGACCCCCAGATTTTGCCAAGAACAGCAAGAATCCAAGCACTTCTCGGGGGTACCCGATTTCGTCCAATCCAATATGTAATTCTCCACAAATCGTTCAACCTTAGTGCCTCTATGTGCCTTTCACGGACGAAGTCATCACAACATATCACAACTCTTCAGAACAATAGCTGGCAGTAAAATATGAACCTCCAATAGATGTTTGGCTGAAACTATCTCTTTCACTTCTGACCTTCAAAAAACTCGATTCCAACTAGCAGCACCGGCCAAAAGGCTCGAAACGACAAGATCGCATCTTGCAAGCCCTTCTTCAGTCTCCATGTGCAGCAAGTGAAACACATCGAAGATCCAAACATCATCAAACCAGATGATGGGAAAATTTACAGGAAACCCCTATATTTGATGGTAAAAACCATGGTTTCCGGTTCAGATTTTCCCTTAAACCAATCCATTGAAAACATCATCAAACCAAACCAACTTGACAACCTCAGTGCCGTGGATCTGTGTTTCACCACTTCCCGTTGCGGGGGCACGATGGCGTCATGGCCGAGGAGGTTGTTTTTCGACATGGGGATGGTTGTGTGAGAATGACTGTTTTAAAGCACCGGAAACTCTACGGGGGACACCGTAAATCATCAAAAATCCAGGAAAATGATACACAATAAATCCATATTAATCACAATTCCGTAACATTACATATTATAATACATATTGATTCCAAAACGGCATCTTTCAAATCAAGTCAAGTGAGCACGTTCTTGAGATTTCGAGGATAGCTTCACTCCAGGGCAGGGCAGGCTGCCGTTCTTCGGGTTCTTCGGCCAGTTTTTTTGGCCAGCGCCAGGAGGAACTGCCTATTCCAGCGCCCCTCTTCAGTGTCACCGCCAATGACAAAGAGAAGATCCCCTTGCCGGATGCCCATGACCCGGTCACTGGGACGGGTCGATGGCTCTACGAGGCAGGAGATGACTGGAAGACGGAAACTGTCCTTTTGCCCACCATACGTAGGGAATGTCCAAGTCACAGAAAGACGACATGAGAACGAATTTTCAGGAATATATGGATTGCATTGAATTGCAATCTCCTGAGATTAGTGATATATTCTGCTGATAATATATATATATATTCATATATATATATATTACGTTATATTACTATATATTCATTAATATCATATATATATATACATACCAACATATACCAACAAATCCAACAATTGTTAGTCATATATTCACATCACCCGCGTCGCCCACCGGTGGCTTCCAGGGCCGACTTGGTGAAGGAGGTCTTGCCACCGTTTTTCGAGCCTGGGATTGCAAGGGCAACTTGGGCAAAGTCGCTGTGACTTGGATTTGATGAGTCGAATGTTTTTTTGTTTTGTTTTTTTTTAATGTCAAATGTTGTGTTGTTTTTGTCTTATAGAGTCTTTATTGATTTATTGTTTGTTTCAAACAGATGAATATATTGTATAATGGAGTTTTTCTATGTGTTTCTATTTTCCCAATAGTTAATCCACCAGAAATGGAGAATCAACTGGTGGCACCCGCGAGGTGAAGGTGCTCAAGCGACACTCCAAGGTGGACCATAGGAATCCCTGTGAAAATGGGGTGATGATCATCTAGCAATATGGGAAACAACCCAACAAGCCATGTTTTGACCATGGCATATTAATGAAAATCCCATGATGGTTTTCCAGACGATGTACATGATGTACTTAAATGCTGGAATTTCCATCGCAATGTCATGGCGGCTGGAGGATCGCCTTGGCGGCTGTGGTTGTATCCCGAGTTATCCTAAGTTGTCCTACAGGGAACCAAGACATATTAGAGCCGTTTCGAAGACCACATTCGATAGGGACCGGCCATGCAGATTTTTTTCTGCCGTTGGGTTTCGAGGAACATTGGGTTTGTCAAGAAAAAGGACATGGGACATATACCAGTTTGATGGCCATATGACGGCCATGTTGATTGATAAAATGAGGATCAACCGTGGGATGTTGAGGTAGATGAACTATGGTCATTTGTTGACAAATCAAATGCATTAAATATCACAACAAATCGTTTCACAAAAAACGACAGACATGGCAACATTTGGAAAAACATCAGTAGATTTCGAAGCAAAATCCGTGGAATCTTCATGAATCTTTCCATGGGATTTGACAAGATGGACTGCCGCTTCTCTCAATGGAGTCAAGCCCTGGACCAAAAAAGTCGTTGGTAAATGGATGCGCATCCCTGGAGTGTGTAGTAATATCATGTATTACATGACAATTGAGTGTGGTGATGATTAAAAAAAGAATTATCCCCATGTGATAATCGGATTTTCAGTGAATCCAGTGTAAATTTCTGATGGAAAATTGGGGGCCTGGTATTTCTACCCCCTGGACTCCAGGCCCATGCTCGTCATGCTTTCGCCATGCATCGGGAAAGCCAATGGTCCTTGGAACGTTTGCACAATCCGGAGAATCCCAGGCGCGGGTTGTGTTCAGACAGGAAATGTTTCAAGGTTTGTCCATCTTTTGTAATATAATCACTGTGAAAATAATGTTTGTAATCACAGAAAAGGAAAATGTCATCAGCAAGGTAATCATGGAATGTTAATTACATTCCATTTGTCCAAGTATGATTACCAGGCCAAAGAACACGACACTGAAGCTGACCGCAAATTCCTCCGACAGGTATTCTGAGCAGCATGCGAGCCTCTTTGCAAGGTGCTGCGACTGAACCGAAGGGGACGGATCCAGGATCATCTAGGATTTCTCAAAAAAATCTCTGGTTTTTCTTGTTGAATTAGGATTTTTGTCGCTTCCCTGGATTAGAAAATTCCATGGGTCCGCCCTGGGGTCCCATCGTGGGTCCCCGGAGGTACCTGGAAGATCACACGGGCTTTGCAGATCTGGGCATCGAGGATTTCGAAGAACGGCGGAAATTCTACGAGTCGCCCGACTTCAACTGGTACAAGCAGCGCCCGGAGACACAGAGACGCCGATGGCCATGGATGGCCATGGGCCATGGGTGGCAATGGGGGATAGCCTGATTCACAGGTGAAGTCATGGCAAAGCCTTGACATGCTGCAGAAACACATGAGATATGCTTCGATGCAGACTTCTGACGCTGTCAATCTTTCTGGGTGTGTCCGCTTAACAGCCGACTGAGGTGTCGAGCTTCCAAACAAACCCTACGCCACAACCTCAGTAGTGAGTATTGGTGATTGGTTACGCCCTGAATTCTTCACAAGCAAGGTCACAGTGTCACAAGTCATGAACTCGTCGTTAGACAAGTGTGTAGGACAGAAAGATCCATCCAAGATCCATCCAACACACTTCAAATTCTAAGCTTGACGTAAGGTGGTGATGGAGCTAGTGAAAGGTGAGACGTTGCAGAATGCAATGCCCAGCATGTCAGCTTCCGAAAAGCGGGAGGCTGGTTGATCCAGAGAGAAACCAGCAGATGTTTTGACAACCTCACGTGGCAACGTCATCGTGATGAACAGAATTGTGGGGTAATATATCCCATGGTGGCCCGAACTTTTCAGGTTGGTGAATTATTACAACTTACCAACCAATTAGCTTTTGTTTTACCAACCACTAATGTTTCATAGCATAATATATATATATATATATATTATATTATATCATTTACTCTTATCCTATGAACTAGTAAGTCAGTGAAGCCTCAATGATGAGTACCGGCAGCTGGGCATGTTGCACCAGGTGATTCTTCAGTGCGCAACTGCCCTGGAGTGCCCCACAGCTCTTGTTGCGGGTTGGGAACCTATCTCACCTATCTGATCTTATTGAGGATCGGGGGAGTAGCCGAACATATTATAACCAAATGCATGACCCATTTCATAGAGATAAATGAGATAAACCTGTAATACAATACATATATATATAATATATATAACTAATATATATATATACATATATAATATATATATATATACATATATATATATACATATATATATATATACAGTAGTTATTTTTCATGGTGCCACCTGACACCCCTCTTGCTCCACATTGCTCAAAAAGGTACTTGGAACGCTTTGGGCTCATCCACCGAGATTTCAGGGGCTGCAACATGCACCTCATTGACCCCGCCTCAGTCACTTCCCTGGGATTTCCGGAAAGATTTTGATACGGCTGGGAACTGTGGGAATGTCCACATGAGTTACATTTAGTTACTATTTATGTTAAACTTTATACCAGTTCAGCATCCATATATATATATATGTATATACATATGTATGTATGTATGTATTATATATATACACAACGCATATAAATAGTACTGTCCCTATTAGTGAAGTCGTTTATTTTTTTCAATGGACAATTGATAGTTCTGGATAGTTACTAAGCAGAGACTAGCCTCCCATGGTCCATCCTCAGCGCCTGAGGCTCGCGAGAAGGGCGAAGACCGGTGTCAGTTGAAGGCGCTTCTGACAGAAGTGGACCAAACATCTAGGGGAGGATCAATCATGGATCATCGCAGCAAAAAATCAAGGGGATATAACATGATATAACTGATATAACCAGCTTACGGATGTGGATTTTTCAGATGATTTACCCATAGAAATACCCAGCAAAGACCAGTGGAATTCACCACGAAATGGTGGAGATGATCATGAGATTTCACCAAGAAGAACCAACAAGTTATGGGATTAAACCAACTATATGTGTTGTTTGGACGAAGGATTGAAGATCCATTGCAACTAAAATAGAAAAATCTCCGACCTTAAATGTTGTGAATACAGGCGGATTGTTGATGATTGTTTTTCTTCATAGCTATTTTTATGAGCGTTGGGAAAAAATGATCAATGGATTGGTTTTGTTGGGAAAATCTTAACCGGAAACCATAGATTTTCCCATTAAATATGGGGCTTTCCTGTAATTTTTCCCTTAAACCAATCCATTGATATGATCAACCAGAACTGGTTAGATAAGAATCCCGACTGAGTCGGGCGCTGTTCACTTGGGTTCCCAAGATTGCGTCCTCCTCATTGATGGAGATGCTGAGGAAGCAAATCTCAGCGGCCAATCTCAACCCTCTTGGTATCTGTAAATCAGATTAGATCATCTAAGATCATCTAAAATCATCTAAAATCATCTAAAATCTCCAAACATCAGCTGGCAGTTCATCCCCATTGTTCCACCTGTTTTCCTGAAAATCACCCCATTTCTTGGGTGAAAAAACAACCGCCAAAAAAAGCCGGTTGGCTGCCGAGATCCTGGACCTTGGTGTGATGATCTCGGCAGAGGCCATGCCAATGATCTCAGATGTCATGTGGGAATGAAGATGTTAGATATCTCTATATGATATCTAAATGATATCTAAATGATATCTAAATGATATCTATATGATATCTAAATGATATCTATATGATATCTATATGAAACACAATAAAGTAATGCACGATATTAGATGTATATCATATATATATATATATATCGTGTATGATTGACGATGTGGGAATCACATTCACATTGATCAACCCCAAAAGGGGATGGTTTTTTTCACCGCCAGGCTGGCATGGAGCAGAATTGCAACATGGCTGTGCAGGTGACCGTGGGGTTGTTTTTTTGGGCTCAGATTGGCCGTTTGAAGTACAGCCAGGATCCATCCAGGATCCATCCATACATCTCCGACATCGGAGCCATCGATTCCCATGGATTCCGCCAAAAAAAAGACAGGCCTTCCGTCGCCGCGGAGACACTGAAGAGAAGAGAAAGAGATACGATTGGCTTCCCTGGGAGGCCGGGGGAGACACGGTCGATATTGCGGTCCCATCGGAATCTTAGTGGGACCACTGGTGACCACTATGCCACTAAAATAGGGTGGCCTATTTTCAGTCATTTGAGACATTTTATGACATTTTGAGACTGTTGATTTTGAACAGAGTTGAGCAAAAGAACATAGAGTCTGGCAATCTCCTGCTGTGAAATTATCATTTGAGTGAATGCTAGTGCTGCTAGTGACACGTGTATCTACAATTTTATGTGCACTTATTTACCTATGTATATTATTCTATATACAGTGTGTATATAATTACACATATACATACATACATACATACATACATACATACATACATACATACGAACATACGTACATACGTACATACGTACATACGCACATACGTACATACGTACATACATACATACATACATAAATACATACGAACATACGTACATACGTACATACATACCTACATACCTACCTACCTACCTACCTACCTACGTCCGTGCATGCATGCATGCATGCATGCATGCATGCATGCATATACATATACATATACATATACATATTCATATACATAGACATATACATATACACATACATATACATATACAGATACAGATACATATACAATACATAGACATACATATATACATACATGCATGCATACATGCATGCATACATACATATAAATTCTTGAAAATTCCTGAAAATTCCTTAAAATCCCTGAAATGTCCTTTAATTTCATTAAAATATATGATATATGTATCTATATATAATAGTATAAAAGAGACCCTCAAGAACGAACCACAGCCACCAGCAATCTCAGCGTTTTTCATCGTTTTTCCAGGTGCGCAATGCCTGCGATGACCTTCAGGGGCCAGTGCACAACTTTGATCCCCCAGGTGGGGATGATCGCCATGGAAATTCCTGCTGAACATTGATAGGTTTGCTGAAGAAAACAATGGTTCTTGTGTGAAAAAAATCTCACAGAAGTTTGATCCAAAAATGGGACATACCGGCATACCCCATATTTTAGCCATGTTCATAGAAGATAATGATGAGAATGATGAGAATGGACCAATTTTCAGATGATATTCCAACCAAGATGTGCTTCGTAAGATGTTTTGTTTCACTAGACTATCTGGCAACCAAGATGTTGGGATTCACAAGTTCAATATATGAATCATATTCCTGAAATCAGAGTTATAGAATCAGTCAACAAAACCATGTTCGCAGCCTGTGGCACGCACGAATCTCTTGTTTCAGATGGCGGGCTTCAGGTCATGCCTTTGATGCCTTCTCCCTGGGGGTTCTGAATCTCAGTCTCATCTGGTGACGGATATGAAACAGTTCATCAACAATGCTGGGGTGATTGGAAGATTGAATTCTTTTGAAATAACAAAAATCTTCAGTGCAATGTTGGATTAGGTCTTGAACTTCCGAGTGTTTTCAAACTCTGGCTGCATAATATTGCACATAACTCCGGACTTGCAATGATCAAGACGTTTGATTTACCCTGATGAAGAACTTGCAAAGTTCGGAACTTTTTGTTTTCTGTTGTTTTTTTCTCATCATCGAAACCGGATTCTTGAAAACCAGAAACTTCCTGCGTTGACGTTCATGTTTCAAGCCACTTCCTGAGGTCTTGATTCTTCATCTCCTCTTGGGCAAAACCAAGGTGCGGCCAGCAACAGCAACAGCCACCAGATTTGCCCATTGGAAAAGCAGCTGCCAGGCCCGGCTGATCTTAGATAGCCTCAAAGATCATCCTGAGAAGCCTAGACCTCAGGAAAGAACTTTAGAATACTTTAGCTGCTGCAGCTGCTGATGTACGGTGATTTTTTGTGGCTTCAATGGTTTTGTTACAGTAATGTTTGTTTTATGGAAAATGAGACAACTCTAAAGCACGGGTTCGGAATGGATCGGATGAGGTCGCCTTTGTTCAGAGCCTGACGGATCAAGATCATGAATCACCAAGGATGTTGGATGCCAGCAGCATCGGCGTACCAAAACATTTGTTGGGATGTTTGTTGGCAGAGGCTGGCAGGGGTGCTCCCGTTCGATTTTCCAGACTTGTGAGGAGTAGAAATGGAGGCCATTTATTCGAAGCTCGGATCGGAGACATAGAAAGTCCCCGATTGATAATAATTCATAGATTATTTTTCCATTCGAACACCATTTACAGAGGATTTTCAATTACCATGTTTGATTCCCAGATAGTATATACAACGGTGCATGTGCACAAAAAAGGCATTCTACAATGACGCCGCAAGAATCGTGGCGCTTTTTTTCCACGCCAGGCGTCGAAACGCCCACGGCCACATGAGGTTTTCTCCCAGACCACACCTCTGAGGCATCTGGTTGAGGGAGGTGTTGTGGATGATGGAAATGGGTGCAGCTGGCATTGCGGGCATTTGGCCATCTGGGTCCGTGAAAGTTGAGGCATACAAATCTCATACGTAAACTTTGTTTGGTCCATGAAAGTAAACTTCAGAGACCATAGAAATCTGTGCAAATTTGCTGGTTGAAGCAAATCAGTTGAATCAAGTGCCATGCTTGCAGATGGTTTCAGACCACACCATTTTGGCACATGTTTCAGAGGAGTAAACAACATGAGCTGGCTCCGGACATGGTATTGAACTAGTTAACTTCGAAAACTGTGTTAGTATAATGTGTTAGTTCGAATAAGATAAATTGTATACTGAGCTGCATATATTCCATCAAATCAACCAAGGGAGGACATGAATTTTGACAATCAAAGGATTAAATTAAGGTACCATTGAAATCTTAAATGTCACGTTGGACTTGCTGGAGCAGGAAAGATGATTATGGCAGCAGAGGATTGACTCTTTGACTCACAGAATGCAGTGCCAAAGCCTGCCGATTGGCCAGATCTTGTAAGATCCATTGGAATGGGTCAAACTTGGCTACCCCAATTGAACAAAAAAAGGTTGTGCCCCCCAGGTACAAGTTGGTTTATTATAAACCCCATCAACTACAAGCTGTATAACCAACTTAGCCGAAGTTTGGCAGTTCTCAAGGCCGACTTCTGTCCCAGAGGTTCGAGGGCCCTGACCGCCGTTGTGTGCTACAAATTGGGTGGTCAGTTGTCTTTCTTTCCCAAACCATGGGACAGATGATAATCCAGAATCCATAATGACAATAGGGAAATTGTCATTCAAATAGTGAAAATTATGATAATCCATTTGAATTTGAGGTGCCCCAGTTTCAGACAAACCCAATCAAACCCATATAAAATCGGGAAAAGCCTATGATGATGGGGAAAATGATGATATGAACATAGAAACATCAACTCCCATCTAGCCCAAAAATGGCAAGTCCAATTGGAAGACCGCGCCACGTGGATTGGACAAAGATAGAAAGGGAGGAATTTCGAGGTATGGAGTGCCTTTTCCTCAAGAGGTAGCCATGGCGCACTGCCCTGGAGTAGAGACAGTTGCATCAATGTCTTTATAGAAACCCAAAAAAACCTGCTCAAAAGTCTGAAATCAAAAAGGATGTGAAAAAGAAGACGTTCCCCCGGAATTTCCAGGTTTCCAAATGTCCGTCTATTTGGGGATTGCTGTATGTTACAAATCATCTTGGCAATAGTAGAGAGACATGATGTGGAACAATGGCATATCATATGATGTTGAATATTTGCAGCTAGGTGGATATGCAATGATATGCACGTTTTCAGACAAATAATCCACTAGTGAAAGAAGGAAGGGGTAAATTTTGCACAATCACTGCATAATTGCTGTAGTATAAATGCATACATATGTATGTATAATTATGTATATATATATATATGAATGATTATATAATTACTGCATAATTAATTAACATGGCATGGGTAAGTTCATACACGAACGATCCATACATCACCAGTCACCAGTCGGACGTCCGGTCGCATCGATGTTCACATCGCTGCGGTTCCTTGGTGCCAGGTCTCCCCTATCCAGGTGCCAACGGTGATTGTGCCGTCAGAAGCTCAGCAAATTTTGGGAATCCCCATGGTGGATGCTGATGAAATTTGGTGACTTTGACCAAAGTTAAAATGTTTTTCAGGGTTCATAAAGTTTCTAAAGCCTTATATCAAAACTTGAGGGTTGATCATATTTGATTATGCTTCAGAAACTTTAATTCATGGTCCCATATCGATTCCGATATCCATTCGGAAATTGGCGAAGTTTTGTGGCAAGTCTTTCCCCTTTTGCAGGGTTCTTCACCTGGGCTAACGCCACAAAACTGCATTCCTATGGTGCCCCAAAGGAGTCGCAGCCCCTCTCGTGGCGTGAGTCTGACTCCCAGTGATTGGAGATGGCAGAGTTTGGAGATGTATAGCAAGCCTCAAAAAAGATAGGAACGTAATTTACCACTATTTTTGTATACTTTACTAGGATGTTACTTGTAGTAGGATGTTACTTTTTCTATATGATTATACCTGTTATTCGTAGGGGTTGATTTTTCCCTTACTTCAGGTTGGCGAAGTACATGATAATTTATACATGTCGACCGTTCCCTTTATTGATGTTGATCATACCCTCACCCTGTAGAGTTGTCGGAGCGGTCCCACAATTGTTGGGTGATCTTCACTAATTGACCACTCTCCTATTCCTCAGAGCCAACACAATGTGAAAACTGTACAAGTCAAAAGATTCAACATGTGTTTGAACAACTACCTGGTGTCCCACCTAGACGAAGTGGCAAGGATCAAGCAATGACGAAGGAACGGGTCAATAAGAATCTTTCTAAAATCCAATGACCAGAAAAATGAATCTGAATGAAATATGACTTCCCAATATAGCCATATATAGCCCTATTTCCTTATATTGGGTTCGTGAATTATGATAATTCACAAGTTCCATGATCTTAAGAGTCCCAAGATGTCCCAAGATTACTGATCCCTGAGGTCATACCACCACCAAAATCGAGGGCAGTGATGATGAGGACTCTGTTGGTAAGGTAAGCATATGCTCTTGCGGAATGATGTCACAAGTGAGTGTGCCCGAAAGTGGTGTCCTGCATGTGGCCATTGTCAAAGGAAGTTTAGTTAGAAAACTTCTGAGTTTATGGACGATTGTCATGTGGTCAGCATTTCCACCATCATGTCAACCACATCATCATGTCAACCACCCATCATCAAGTAGTTGGGAAGTGTAACAGTTCGGAAGCGAGTGAATTCACAGGTGAAAACACTCTCGGGCGCGAAACCCTGTGCTTTTTATTGCGTTTTCAGGTAAAGTGGCTCCTGGGGTCACCGGGATAGGGTCTCTATTTCCGCGAGTTCGGGGCTCGATCTGGGAAAGTTGTCGGCGAAAAATGCGCAGGACTGTAGCGAGAGCTCGGCTTCCACTTCAAAATCACAAACAACGGGATCAGAGCACTTTTGGAAGATGGGGCCTGCAATATGTGCACCAGACTGTAGCAAGAGCTCGGTTTCACATAAAAATCGCAAAAAGCTGGCACGACCGGAGCAGCGCCGGATTTGTGCGGTCGGGTCCCCATGGTCAGGGCTACGCAGACGTTGGTCGTTTTGGCGCGATGCTCCATGGTATGTGGATTTGCAACCGTTTGTGACCAAACGCATTGGCATGGCTGCGTGCAGCAAAGCATTGATGTTGCGACTCCTGGCAAGCGGGATTGCAGCTGGAAGTTGCTAAACGCATAGTGCGCGAAGAGAAGAATTGGGTCGCAGAATCTATAGAAGAGCTACCTGGAAAAGCTCAGAGCAGGGTCAGCGAAGAAGTAGCCGAGAAGAGGCTGCTCAGAGAAGAAGTAGCTAAGAGAAGAGGTGCCTCAGCGAAGAGGTCGCTCAGTGAAAAACTAGCACAACAAAGAAGTAGCTCACTCATCCATCCATAGTTCATACGTCCATCCGGTCATTCGTGTATTGATTCTGATTCATCGACTCACCGACGCAAAAAAAAATCATTCAGTCGCTGGTTCACCAACTCAATGTCTTAATTACTGATTCATTGAGTCATTGATTCATTAATTCGTTCATTGCCTCATTGGTTCTTTTGGTTCCTTGCATCATCGGTTCATTAATTTCTGGGTTCATTGAAATCATTGATTCATTGCTTCGTTGGTTTAAATTTTCATCGACTCACTGGTTCACATGTTTCATTCATTCATTGATTCATCGACTCACTATTTCACATATCATATTCATTGATTACATGATCGATGCATGGGTTCATTGATTCGCCGGTTCATCGACTCATCATCTCCATTCGTTGATTCACTGATTGGATTGGTTCACCGACTCACTATATACTTCGCTCATGCAATACTCCACTGCATCATGGATTCGTTGATGCATTGATTCATTGAATCATTGATGATCACCGACTCATCAATTCTCATTGGCGCATCGATTCATCAATTCACTCATTCATTGATTCATTGATCCAGTGGTTCATTCGGTCAGTTGTGCGTGGATTTTCTCGTGTCATTTCAAGCGCATCTCAACCAGCATTTGCTCATTCGCTGATGCACCTCACAACTTGATCAATTCGTTGCTCCTGCATCGCACAAACTTTCCTATTGGCCATTGATTTCTTATATAGTCATTTCCTATTTTCGAAACTTCCGCCTCGGCGCGTGCCGGGCACTATCTGGTATACCACTTCATGGGCAATTAGCTGAAACAACGTGGGTTTTTTCCCGCGTCCTGATTGAGATTAAATTTAGTTTGGACTTTCTTAGTTCAGAATTGGACGGCATTTTTACCATGCCATGAATGAGTGCTTTGACTCCAGGATGTGGAGTTGATCATCGTAGAGCCCAAGGAGCCCAAGGAGCCCAAGGAGCTCAAGGAGCCCAAGGAGCCCAAGGAGCCCAAGGAACCCAAGGAGCCCAAGGAGCCGAGTCAAAAAGCGGCGCCGGCACAGGCAGAGCCAGAAGCAGCACGAGAAGCCGCAGCCAAGGCGGTGGAATCACTCTACAAGCCACCACCAAGGCCACCGGTGACCGAAGGACCTCGGCCCAAAAGCCGAAGTCGCAGCCGGAGCCCGTGGAGCCAACGGAGGCAACGAAGCCAACGGCGAAGCAAACAGAAGAGTCCAAGTGGAAAGCGGCATCGTAGCCGTCGTCGAAGTCGACGAAGTCGTCGAAGTCACCGAAGTCACCACAGCCGGCGAAGTCATCGAAGTCGACGAAGTCATCGAAGTCGACGAAGTCGTCGAAGTCGACGAAGTCATCGAAGTCATCGAAGTCGAAGCAGGCGCAGTCGCGGCAGATTTGCTGAAGTCGACTTGTGATTTGCTGTTCAAGTTACATCCATCGCAACTGCATGGTGCCAGGCAAAAGAAGGAGAGCAGTGTGGAGAAGAAGTTGGGGCTCACAATGAAGCAACTAGTTTTGTTTAGCGTTGATGGTCAAGCATGAAAAGCATTGACAAATGATATGTATGACGTGTTATGATGTATTAATTACTTGATGTGCTGGGATGTGCATGTATGAGACTCTGGGTACACGTTGCGCCCTGATAGTCAGGTAGCCGATTTCCGGTTTGAACGCGTTGGTGAGAAAAATGGTCAGACAGCTTACCGGTAAAGAACACTGCAGAAAGGCAGTCTGCAAAAGAATGAAGAGAGTTTCATCAACCGAGTCCAATGTCAGTGGCACACAGGCAGTTTCTTCCGCAATGGAGGCAATCTCGGTTTCCGCACAAAAGTTGCCATGCAGCTGTTGTCACTTGCCAACGGCCTGACACCTGCTATTACTGTACATACAAGTTCACATACAGTAATTACATGTAACTACCACCAAATTGTATTTGGTTGCCCAGATACTTGTTTATAATTCTTTCCTGAGACATCCTGAAACCGTTTCAAAGATGTTAAGCATGTCACGCTGATTCACCACTTGTGGGTCCATGAAGGTACTCTTCTGACTCCACCAAGGCAACCCTTACGCCGAGAACATGCGCAGGCCAAATTGCCCCGATTGCCTGGGACCTGGTTGGTGGTAACGTGGAGAGGTCAGCATTGCAAGTGATTTTTTTTCTTGAGGGAGACGGGATGTTTGGTGCCGTGACTTGATATGATGTGATGTGGTTTGATATGATTTGATTTTTCATTTATTTATACATATTTATACATATATATACACACTATAAATATATATATATATATGTATATGTATATGTATACACATGTGTGTGTATGTTATCGGTATATACAATATATACGTACTATTCGTAATACACACAATATAATGTACATATACACATATACAGGTACATATTTATGTGTGGTGCTTTGATGTACTTCGGGTACTTTACTTGAAAGGCATCCACAATTAAAATTTGTGCCAGCACTAGTTGCAAGTTCTTGTCAGAGTTTGAAAATGTTGCCCAGGTCTCAACCACGGGAGGAGGCAGATGGCGTGTGATGCCCTCCAGCAATGGCTGCTTGCGGATAAGTCAGTACCTATAGGGCCAGATCGTTTGAATGAAGATTCACAACTGGCAGCCAAATTTTGATGAGAAAACAAGAGATGCAAGGAAAATGTTATGGCTTTTGGCTTTTGACCCATACCCATTTCATCCCATGTGGCATATTTATATGAATTTTATATGATATGACACTTTGATACCGGAATTCAGGGTTGGACATGTTTTGGACCCCGGACCCCTATGTCGTTGCCTTTGTCAGGCTGCCACAGTCTCTCCACCGAAGGAGACAACTGCTCCGAGGGAGGCGGAGAAGCCGCTTCCAGCGGCGCCAGAGCCGAAGGAGGTCACAAATCCCAAGGCCATTGGTTGAAGCGAAACAGGGTCCAGCCATATTGGGGGTTTAATTGGGTGGTATAACGGGTATATGGGATTATATGGTCAACAATTCGATACTTGGGGCTTGTCCTTAAATCAATTACACCGGCAAGAGGCCCCGATCAGTGTGGGGGGTAGGAAGTCAATGTACTAGATAGAAGCAGCAGTAGCTATGGAGCAGTGACAGATCAGGCTAGACATCACCGAAATTGCAGCAGAAGAATGCTATGTCTACTCATGAGGGCTTCATGCCAGAACCTCATACCAGGACACGCAAGGGGATTTCAAAAGATTGTCAAACAAGGACCTTCTATATATATATATATATGGGAGCCGTCCGTAAAAGCAGGTCACAAATTTATGAATTGATGCGTTTACTTTGCTTTGCGCGATTGCTAAAACCTGCATCGCGATAGGCTGAGCGATTGGTTGGCGATTGGTTATACGGCTACCACCCTATTACTACTACTACTACTACTAGTACTACTACTAGTACTACTACTAGTACTACTACTAGTACTACTACTAGTACGTACTACTTAGTACTACTACTAGTACTAGTACTAGTACTACTACTACTACTACTACTACTAGTACTTTTACTACTAGTACTGCTACTACTACTACTACTACTACTACTACTAGTACTACTACTACTACTACGACTACTACGACTACTACGACTACTACGACTACTACTACTACTACTACTACTACTACTACTACTACTACTACGAGTACGACTACTACTACTACTACTACTTACTACTACTACTACTACTACTACTACTACTACTACTACTACTTCGAGACCAGAACCATGCCAATAATTGACATGGCCGCGCGGATTCCGCGCGCGCGGAATCCGCGCGCGCGGAATCCGCGCAGATGTTTTCAGGTCAGAAGGACATTCAAGCTAGCTCCAATTGAAAACAGGTCAGAAACAGGTCAGAAACAGGTCAGAAACAGGTCAGAAACACCAAAAAGGCAGCACTTGCCTAGCATCCCATCCATCCATCCATCCATCCATCCATCCATCCATCCATCCATCCACCTCAGCTCTTATCATTGCTACTAATACTACTACTACTACTACTACTACTACTACTACTACTACTACTACTACTACTACTACTACTACTACGAGTACGACTACTACTACTACTACTACGACTACTACTACTACTACTACTACGAGTACGACTACTACTACTACTACTACGACGACTACTACTACTACTACTACTACTACTACTACTACTTTCGAGACTAGAACGATGCCAATAATTGACATGGCCGCGCGGATTCCGCGCGCGGAATCCGCGCAGATGTTTTCAGGTCATCCACTTGACAGAAGTTCCACGGAAGGGTCAGAAATAGTCAGAAACCAGTCAGAAACCGGCCAAACGCAACCTCTCTCTCTCTCCCTTGCCTATTCCCTCACCCTCCTACCAGAACTCCTACGCCTACTCCTATTCCAATTTCCACTACCACTACTGCTAGTGCTACTGCTACTGCTAGTGCACTGTGAGTTTTCCGGACCGTTTCCGGACCGCACAAGCTTATTTTGCTCCCAAATTTGAAATCGAATGCGTTCACGCATGGATCCTTACTCTCATTACTAGATTTGCTACTACCCCCAGCACTACCACCACACCCGCTGCTACTGCACCACCCTGCACCACCACTACCACCACTACCACTAGTACACCTAGGAATTTCTGCTCTTGCTTTTAAATCCAATTGCACTCGTGTGAAGGGTCAGAAACGAGTCAGAAACCAGTCAGAAACCAGTCAGAAACCCGTCAGAAACCGGCCAAACGCAATCTCTCTCTCTCTCTCCCTTGCCTATTCCCTCACCCTCCCATCAGAACTCCTACGCCTACTCCTATTGCAATTTCCACTACCACTACTGCTAGTGCTACTGCTACTGCTAGTCCTGCTGGTACTACTGTGAGTTTTCCGGACCGTTTCCGGACCGCGCAAGCTTATTTTGCTTCCAAATTTGAAATCGAATGCGTTCACGCATGGATCCTTACTCCCACTACTAGATTTGCTACTACTCTTAGTACTACCACCACACCCGCTGCTACTGCACCACCACTACCACTAGTACACCTAGGAATTTCTGCTCTTGCTTTTAAATCCAATTGACACGAGTTCCGCTGAAGGGTCAGAAACGAGTCAGAAACCACTCAGAAACCAGTCAGAAACCAGTCAGAAACCCGTCAAACGCAACCATCTGTTTCCCCCTCCCTCCCTCTCTCTCTCTCTCTCTTTCTCTCTTTCCCTCCCTCTCCCTTTCTTCCCTTGCCCTGCTACTAGAACTCCTTCTCCTATTCCTACTCCTACTCCTACTCTTACCCCTCCTACTACTACTACTACTACTACTGTACTACTACTACTACTACGACTACTACGACTACTACGACTACTACGACTAGTACTACTAGTACTACTAGTACTACTAGTACTACTAGTACTACTAGTACTACTAGTACTACTAGTACTACTAGTACTACTAGTACTACTGCTGCTGGTGCTACTGTGAGTTTTCCGGACCGTTTCCGGACCGCGCGAGCTTATTCTGTTCCCAAATTTGAAATCGAATGCGTTCACGCATGGATCCTCATTATATAATACATAACTTATATTTTATGTATATGATCTGATCAACGAAGAACAAACCCTTCCGCGATTGCTCACTGTGGTACCGCGGTTGCTACGCGATTGGCTGAGCGATTGAGGGCTGTCCGGGAAAAGGTATTTTGGACAACCCCCATATATATATAGTATAGAGGATCATACATGAACGACCTTTTTTTTTATAGTATAGAGGATCATACATGAACTTCGTAGGAGCACCCCAGAAGAACTTGCAGACAAGCACCCATGCAGAGCATCTTCAAGATCTTACTGCAAGGACCTCCTTAGGAGGATTTCAACAGGATCTCCACAAGATCTTCTCACAAGGACTTGTACGAGATCATGCAAGGATTTCACCAGGACCTCTTCAAGATCTTCTGACAAGGACCTGAGGTCTTCTCACAAGGAATTGTAAAAGACCTTGACCAAGATCTTCATGCCAGGACCCCTAAGAGAATCCCACAAGACCGTCATAAAAGGACCTGCTGGTGGAGAGGAGCGCGCAAGGCTGCTGATACAAGAACCCCACAAGAGCATCTCAGAAAAGCTTTCATTAAAGCACCTCTAAGACATCGCATCTGCAAGATCTTCACGCAAGCACTTCTTAAAGAGGATCTTACCAGGATCTCCACAAGATCTCCTGACAAGGACCTGTGCAAGATTCTGCTAGCACCTCTGAGAAAGGATTTCACTAGGATCTCCACAAGATCTTCTCATAAGGACCTGTGCAAGATCATGCAAGGACTCTTAGAGAATGTCAGCGGGATCTTCACAAGATCTTCTCATATAAGGACCTGGTCAGGATCCAATGACCTGTGACAGGATTTCATCAGGATCTTCACAACATCTTCTCACAAGGACCTCTACAAGACCTTGGCCAAAATCTTCCTATATTACGGACCTCTAAGACTGCACCATGAAACTCTTGCAAGATCGTCATAGAAGGACCTTCCAGGCTCAGAGAATTCATAAGATCTCTTTACCAGGATCTCAGAGCATCAGCTAAAATCACGAGAAGGTTGCTGGTTTCAGCCACTGTTTCGTCGAGGTCTACAAAGTACTGCGCTTGCCACGAAAAATGAGCCCGAGGCAAACCGGGGCCCACACTTTGTGCGAGCCTGCGCTGTCGAAATGCACATGGACATCTCAGAAGAAACCTTACACGCGATAATTTACAATACCCCAGACCAAGATCTTGACAACCCCGGGGCGCAGACTTTGTGCGAACCTGCGCGTTCAAAATGCACATGGACATCTCAGAAGGGCACTTTCATGCGAGAATTTGCAGCAAAAATGTCGCGGCTCAGAGAGTGTACCCGGATCTAACCCCGGCCTTTTAACACTTACCGTAAGGACCACCCAATGTGGACACACTGTTTGTGGAAAAATCGGGATAACCTAAGATTGGAAAACCGTCATTTTGATGTGAGAAACAACGCCCAAATATGAAAATTGTGGGGTTCTTCATGTTCAGATTATATAACCTTAAATATACACCATGAATAGAGATCGGTACAAACAAAAATTGGGGATATGATATCAACATATATCATAAACATTTTTCCCTGCTACAGTGGTTTGGAGGGTTGCAGTTTGGAAGGGTTGAAACCTCGCACACAACGTTTTAGCTAGGAAAAGGTGATGATTGTGCATGATGGTGCTAGTTGCTGTGCGTGCAAATTTCTGAGAAACAAAACCTGGAATTTAAGCGGCAAAAGCTGGACCTATGTGGATATGCGTTTCCTTTAAACCAGAAGTCCAAGGAAGTTTGGATCCATTAAAGGCTTGGCAAATGGGGCTGAAGATCCCTTTTCAGGCCACGGATCAAGCTCCAGCCGCTCATGTTCCCGAAAGTCAAAACACAGAGGCGAAAGTTGGGAACTGGAGTCCTCCGAACTTGGGGTTCAGCAATCCTGAACATGGACATGCTATAAATATTTATACCCTCTGGCAATCAAACATGGCAATTGAAAATAAATTATTTATGTAATTTAAACCTCCATTTATACGTTCCATGTTTGATTTCCAGGGGGTAAATAAATATGACAAACTGTGGTTGGCTGGAATATGTCTGAACTTCTATGAAATTTGTCTTCCCTGCAGAGTAATTTGTGGCCAGTGTTGAGTAGTCATTGAACGTCATTGAATCATCCATCTCAGAATAAGATTGCGGGGGTTTCAGGTCATTTAAGATTCGTTTGCATATGTTTGCATAGCACGGCCCATCACATTCTGTTTTTACGGAGTTATCATTGGTTATCAGCCCCCTGCGTTGCATTTGATGTTCGTTCTACAGCCTCGCTAGGTGGCACAAGAAACAAAAGAAACCCCGTCACGAGCTGGGAGTGT